TTTCTGATGGGATAAGTCCACTGACAAAGACATCTGATAATGACACTTGTCCAAAAGCACTTCTGACCAGAATCTAGAAGAAAACCCAGAGCAAAATTCCTTGTACTGCTGTGGGTACAATTTCCATTTGAGCTCTGTAGGCTCCTGAGGTTTGGAATGATCACAGAAATTGGCTGGGGTTTGAGGTGTTTGTTGGAGGCCTTTTAATGGTTCGGTGCTCACTTGTGGGCAACTTCATTTTTCCCTAATTCCAACCCAATTCCCAGCCTAAATGAGAAAAGCAGTGCAACAGCTTTGAGAACAGATTGGAGGTCTGTGCTGCAGTCGGCAAACTGGGTGGTGTCCATGTGGCAGTCAAGCTGCCTTACAATATTGGGCAATAATAAAGCAGGAACCTTTCTGATATTTAGCAACTGCACCATAGTTTCTCCTCCTTGGGTAAGATTAACCTCAGGTCAGCAAGAACAATAACATATTTAAGAATAAAAAGGCTGGGTGACTGCCAGCACCCTGGTCTGGCAAGGGAGGGAGAAAGTTTTCAGCTGCAAGGGATGTGTTAAAATGCTGCTTATGTCATGCTTGGGATCCTCTGGCATGTGTTGAGTTAAATACAAATAGCATTCTGCATAGCAAACAGATAAATATTGTAGATTACTGTAGAACACTGTAGGTCTCAGTATTATGGCTGAAATCTGTTCTTTAGCTGGACTATCAAACAAGAGAAGATGTTCAGCTTGTGCCTCCATGGGTTTTGTATCAGTCTGTGAGTTTTTCTGTGCATTTCTGCAGCCTCACTGAGGATGTTTTGTGCTCAATAAATAGCTGCTACTGTGGGTTTTCCCAAAAGATCTTGTTCCTGCCTGCTCCACAGTTGCAGTTTTGCCAACAGGACAGGGTACAGCCTGTTTCATCCCAGAAATGCTCTGAGTTGTCTGTCTGGGTGCAGAAGTGTCAGCAGCACAGTCCCTTGTAGAAAGGAGTGGGGAGAGGAAGTTTTTGTAGCACAATTTCCACTTCCACTCCCCTCTCCAGAAGGAGGATGCTTGCTACTGCCTGACCAAGTGCCCATGATGCCCCTCACAGCCAGACAGAGCTCGAGGACACGGTCTGGAGGAGGCCCTGCCACGGCTCACCAGATGGGATTTTGGGAGCAGACAGATCTGTGCACTGGAAGTTTGCTCTGTTTCCAGCCGCCCCTGGGCATGCAGACAGGCACGTCCACTCCAACCACGGTGCCAGGGCTGAGTAGGGCAGCATCCGAGCTTAAATAGCAGCTTTTCTGTCTGCATTTAGAATTATTTTGATGTTATAGTGCTGAGAATCACCAGTGTGTGCAAAGCCTGTGGTGTCTGGCTGTGCTTGCTCAGTGGGAAGGTCAGAGTGGGGTGGGATCTGTGTTTAGCCCACTCCTGTGTGTGCTCTCAGTGACATCTGAGCATCTTTGTGTGGCTCATAGCTCATGGATTTCATCCTCAGCATGCCTGTGTGGTGTGGGGGAACATCATCTTCATCTTTCAAACAGAGAGCTCAGGCTTGGAGAAGCCAAGTGCTGCCCAGAAGGTCGTACTGGGACCATGCACTGCCACAGTTGGGCTGGGATCTAGTCCAGTGCCCAGTCCAGGGGATTTGGGATCCTTAACATGTAGTTCAGCTGCAACAGGAACCCATCAATGCAAATTCACATTGCCTGCAGTCACGGGATGGCTGGGAATCATTCACAAGGGTGCCTTCCAAAATTTGCTCTTCAGCAAATTTTCCCATATTACTTTGAAGGAAATGGAGTTGATTGCAATAGTAAATGTGTTTTTGATGTGGCAAAAAGCTAAGTGCTCCCAATATATCACTTTTCCCTTTCTGCTGACACATTCCTCGGTCCCCCTGAGTAAGAGAAGGAAAACAGGAGAGGCGGTTTGAAGAACATGTTGTGCCTTTGATTGACAAGAGGTTGTATAAATCAGTCAAAGGGAATCCTCCAGGCATTCCCTCTTGTGGGAAGATCCCACAGTGCTCCCTGGCCTTGATCGTTCTGTCTGCCGATGTTTGTGTACAAAATGTGTGGGTGGGAGACGAGCTGGATTTGAACCTCCGAGAGGAACAGACATCAGCTCTTCTAATTGAAAGCAGCTTCCTCGGGAGGGGGATGACATGGGCTTCCAGTAACTAGACACAAATAGTCACTGCATACTTTGGAGCACATACTAAGCTCCTGTGGATATCCCACTTGCTGTGTGGGTCTGAGAGTCTGGATAAGCCCCAGTGAGTGAAGTTTGGAGCAGTGTGTGATGCTGTCTTTCTTCAAAGCAAATACTTCAGTGTTTGGTAACACCCTGAAATGAGAAGGCTATCGATGAACACATCTGCAGCTGTCAGGTGCCTTAGCTGCTGCTTTGCATCACTGTAGCAAACTCGAGGACGTTAGGATATAGTCTGTTTCTCATAAGTGTGAATTCCTATGAATAGCAATGACAAGAGATGATATTCTGTTTTCCAGGCCATTGGAACTTGTGCTTCTAGAAGTGTTGGTACTGCAGTAATCACATAATCATTTAGCTTAGAAAAGATCTCTAAGATCATTGAATCCAACAATTAATTAATTAATAGGGGTCTTTGGGCTGCTGCCACAGTCTGAGGATGCCTTAAAAGCAGAGGTGTGAAAGACTCCTCCAGCAGGTGATTCTCAGGCTTGGCAGGTGTGATGTGACATTTAGTGCATGTGCAGAATTGAAACAGGGATGGATTTACCGCATGTGTTGGAGCCTGGTGAGATGGTGTAGTCTATAGGTTGCAGGAGCTGTTTATCTAGCCCAATTGTTTCCAGAGAAACTTAAAGAACTTTGGTTTTGGTTTGTTGTTTTGTTTTTTTGTGGTTTTTTTGTTTTTGTTTTTGTTTTTTTTTTTGCCATTAGCTAAGTTTACTGGCCAGCAGCAAGTGGAGAAGAGGCTCTTGTAGCCATTCATCTCTCTTAGACTTTTCCCACTCTTCTCAATTAGACTGTTCAAAAAGAGCCTTTTACCCCAGGACCACTTTGAAACACTTGTCTGGGTAGCGATGGATCAGCCTCAGCAGGGGGAAGCTTATCTAACCTGCTCAAACCAGGCCAGTCTGGCAGCCCACGTGGCCTGAACACAGGCTCTTTATGCAATGCTCAGATTTTTGCTAATATTCTCCAGCAGAAGCAGAGAGTGCTAGGGTTCACACACACGCACAAATCAAACGAGGCATTTAAAAGTTATCAGAGATTTCCAGCCCACCTCAGCAGGGGTTTATTTTGGGTTAGAATCAAACTTTTGGTGAAGGTCTGGGTGATTTCTTAATACAAGTTTTCACTCATCCATTAAGTGGCACTTAAAAAGTACCAAAAGTCAGTGCTTGTGTTTCTTTCAGCCACCTTTTTGGACCAACAGAGCAGGAGGAGAAGTAAGAATAAGAACAAAATCATATAAAACTAATGAGACCTTTGTTCATGTCAAAGAGCTCTCTGACCATATATATTGCAGATGTGGGTGAGATAAATTCCCTAGCTGGAGAAGTATTAAAATAAAAACCATGCTCCCAACAAGAGACAGGCTGCTGAAAACGCAAGAAGGGAGAGTTGCGAAACGGTACATGTCGAATTGCTGGCCTGGATTTCAAATGCCAAAGATAGTTTATGTAAAGCCTTGCTCTGCTGTAAAATGTAACACTATCCACTGGCTAGCCTCAATGAAGCTTGGTCCCAGTTGTTTCAAAAAATAAATAAACTAAAAATCTTCTTCCAGCCCATTAAAGCTGATTTATGTTTTGCCTGTAAGATTCCTCTGTGCTGGATCTTGAGGGACTCAGATTTTAAAGGGGATTACCTCACTTTTAGCCAATCTGGTTTCTCATTCCCAGGCATCCCAGGCTCTCTTTGCAGTACCAGGACCAAGAGGGCATTTCTATGCAGAATTATCGAATGGGCATAGGATTTTGGATGGCTGCTAATTTTCTTGTTTCACTTCAGGGTTCTCTTTTTGGTTTAATAATGAAATTGCTGATGGGAACAGCTTTACTGACAGCACATCAGCACAAGGAATTCCATCTATTCCTATGGCAATGACAGTCAGTGAGCTCATCAAAGCTTGTGAATCCAACAGGTACCTTTCAGATGCTCCAGGAGCCTCAGCTATAAGCATCCTTCTAATGCATAGTAAATTTTTCCATGGTGGACATTCCCTTTTTTCTGTTTGCTGTGGAGGTGAAGGCTGCGGTGGTTCATGCTTCTTTTTTGAAGCAGCTTCACTGAGCAGTGTGTTTTCAGGGTAATTCTGACCATTTCTTGCAGCTTCATTTTCACATCTGACATACTGGTGGCACTCTGGTGTTTAGATTCTGGCTTTTTTTTAGCTTTTCATCATAACAGGACTTGGGAATCATGTACTTTATTGAAAAGAGCAGTTTACCTTCAATTTCACTGCTGCCTGCCATGGAAAGGTGTAGGAAGAAGGTGATTCCACTTGCAGAACTGGTTGGGGAAAGAAGAAACAAATTTGCTTAAATTGGGTTCCAGCAGCAGGACTTCCCTGGCTACACCTGGTTCTAAGTTTACAGGGCCATGTGTGGCTCCTCTGGGGTTACAGTAATATCAGATTTAAATAGGGTAGTGCTGGAGCACTGTGGAGGCAGCTCCACAGTGTCTGTGCTGGGAGCTGGAGTGTTCAGAAGTGATCCTGGTCCATTTGGGTGGGAGCAAAGTTGTTCTAAATGCTGTCAAAACCTGGTACCAAATTCAGAGGAGGTTGTTGGCTGCCACCCTGCTGCTGTGAGTCTTTAGCTCCTGTTCATGTTTCAGTTTTTCTTCCTGGGGTAGAAGACCTAGAAACTTAATTTTGAATAATGTCATGATATTTAGAAGCACAGTTATTGTGCATTACTTTATCCTAGGAGTGCATCTGTACTTTGTTTCCCCACTTCAAGCAGTCAGAACCCTTCCTTGCTGTCCTCTAGATCAGTTTTGGTGTTTCTTTTTTTCCTGCTGCAGATGTGCCGTACCAAGGTGATCGACTTGAACGATGGAGTGTCCCAGTATGCCTGGTATCCCTGCACGGCCAACTTCCAGTACTCCCACATGGCACAGACCATTTTCTGGCTGAAGGTAGGAAGTGCACACACCATTCAGAAGTTTCCTCTTTGACTGCCTCTACAAAGATTCTCCAGCAGGCAAAATATCGTGGGTCAGCCTTCCCAAGGCCAAGCTGCTCCTTTCTGAAGTATGTTTAGAGCAAAAGAGCAAAACAATGTCTTTGAGCACTGTCTAGAGAGTGAGTAGTGAAGTCCCCTTGTGTGTGACAAGGCTATTGAATTTCTGAGAGGGTTCAGCTTCAGGGCTGTTTGACTTGAGTTTATCTAGTTTGTGTAGGAGAGACTGGAAGAGAAGATTTCTGTGTGACCTGGGATGGGAATTCTTCTTTTAAAAGTCCTGGACTGACTCCTGGGGATTTTTTAAAGCCCACCACAGTTCTGCACCTCAGGCTTTGTGGGGTTTGTGTTTTCCCAGGCTTATTTTTCCCAGCCTATGGTGGCTGCAGCAGTCCTTGTTCACTTGGTCACAGATGGGACCTACTACCTGGACCAGAAGCAAGAGACCATTGGTGTGCAGCTGTTTGACACCAAAGAGCAAAGCCACGACCTTGGTAAGACTGTGTTGTGTTAAACTCCCTCTTTACTGCTTGCTTAGTGTGGTGATGCCCCCATTCACCAGTACTACTGCTCAGTTTTTTTCAGAATTAGACAAAAAAAGGTGCTTGCTCAATGCTCCAAGCCCTGAGTCTCACTACAGTTTGTTGAAAATTATGTGTTATTTTATACAGACATTACTCCATAGCTGTTCACTATCCATTCAGAGGTGATTAGCTCCTCTTCAGTCACTAAATTCAGCACTATCTCAATGCTTCCCACCCAGCAGTGCCCTGGAGAGACACTGATGGTGCTACAGGTGAACCCCTGGGAGCAGGGAGTGAGGCACCTGCACCAGCTGCTGCACAAAGGCTTCTGTTTCACAGGGAGTGCTGGGTGATCTCCAGTCCTGCTTGCAAGGAGGTCTCCAGAGCCACTTAATGACCAGAATTCCCCAGGTGAAATATTTCAGGGGGTGAAGGTCCAGCTCCAGGGCCTTGCCAGACTCCTGGCATGGCCTCAAGCAGATGTGCCTGACAGAGGCAGGACCTGCTCTTGTGCTGAAGTGCTGGCACAGACAGGTTTTGTCTCTACCCTTGGCACAGGCCCCTAAGCTGGGGACGTTGTGCCTGGTGAATTGACCCAGGCTGCATTTAAGCTGCAGAACCCAGGAGCTCTCTCTAGCTCCCAAATCTGTGTCAGGGTAGGACTTGCATAATCCCTTTCCAGATGTTCTCTGCCTTTTTTTTTTTCACTGAGGAGAAAGCTGGCCAGGTCACCTTGAGAGCAGTTTTTAAGGAAACATAACTCCCATCCCCCAGCTTTCTGTTTTACTATAGTATTTCAATTTTTACAAGCTGAAACTCAAATGAACTTAGTAGTGATGAGAAGAAGAGACACAGAGTGACACGTGTTGGATGAGCATCCAGGATAATACAGAATTAGGTGGGGTGTGGAGGAGAACAAAGGAAATACGTATGGTGTCGGTTGTCCAAGAACAAACTGAAATTTGTAGCAAGTTGTGCAGGTTGAGTCAGGATGGCTCCCAGTTTGCCAGAGCCCTTGAATTAATCTTACCCTCCTTTTGCAAAACAGTGGCACATAGCTCTATCCCTCTGAGAAATAAATGATGGAGCCACGAGCATGCCAGCAGTACTTAATGTGACATTTTATAGGGACAGACAGGCAGGCTGGGAGGGAAAGAGAACAAGAAAGAGGAGCAAAGAGGAAACGGACGGTTAGGTTTTGAAATCTTCAATGAAGTTGCAACATGAGTTTGGCATGGCTCAGCCTGATGTCTGGATGTCCTCCCAGCTGAAATGCTGCTTTCATCATGGAAAAGCCCCTTTGACCTTTCAGAAGAGGCTGCCTGGAGCAGAGGAGAGGTGTAGGTGGGCTACCCAGCAGCTCTCACTCAGGCAGAGCTCCCCACTGCTGTTCTGTCTGACTTCTGACAGGGACGTGAAGTCCTTTTCCTGGATATTGTGTTTCATGTGTTTGAATTATCACCATGGCAAGCTGGAAACTGCAGCTGAGATGCAAATGTTGGCATGCACTGGGGGCAGGACGGACTGAGACACTCAATGAGCCTTAAGCAGAAGTTCATAGCAAACTGAAAGTACATCCAAAAGGAAGTAGCAATAATTTAAATCTCAATCAGTCCCCCAGTGTGCTAAAGACACTGCCATGAGCAAAGAATAGCCTATCCAGACATGCAGTTTTCTGCCTCGATCAGAGCAAGTGGACTCCTAGAAAATAATGTGAAGCTTCTTCTAAGTGCTGGTAGAAAATTGAGAGGTTGGGATGCCAAACAGTTCCATGCTGTTGGTTCAAAGCCATCAGAGACACCAGGGTTCAGCTGCTGAACTGATGGGTACAGAGCCACAGAAACAGGGGTGATCCTGAGACAGCTCTGATTGCCCCCATGGGCACCTGTACCATCTTTATGGGTATTTCAGGGGAATTAAAAAACCTTCACCTGTCCAGCCACCGTTTTCCTGGTCAGAAATAACCAGCAGTGCAGCCCAGCTCTGAGGTTCTGCTCTGTTGCGGACACCACCTGAGTGCAAGGAATGAAATAGAAGTGAATAAACAGCCTCATACCATAAGGTCTTGGCTTTCCATCAGAGAATGCAGAAACTTCCAAGGAATTTGGGAACCCGGGATTTTGAGTATTAACTGCACCTGTTTGTAAGTGAGAAACGTGCACCGTTCCACAAGGAGCTGATATCAAAAGACTTCTGGGAGGCAAGTAGACAGGGAGGTTATTTCAGGGTCAGATGAAGACCAAAACAAAAAGAGACTTGCTTTTTATATATATATATATATTTATTTTTTTTTTTTTTTTATTACAGGAAGATTTTTTTAAGTAGAGGGTGGGAGATAGATGTTTAAAGAGCGTGTCTTAATTCACAGAAAATCACTTTCTAAGGAGAAAAATGAAAGCCTTTTTATTCCTTTCCTTTTGAGTCAAGAAATATGAACTGGGGGAAAAAAAATAATAACAGAAATCCCTGAGCCAGTTAAACATGCAAATAGAATTTATTTTATTTTCAAATTTGTAAGTGTATCAGGGTAGCCAAGGGGTCTGGGCCAAAGCCATTGCTGGGGGAGCTCCAGTGAAGCAAATGGATCTGGAGCCAAGCTGATCCTCGGAGTGATGCCATGGAGCTGTGGAGGCAGAGCCTTGCAGGCAGCCAGCAGGCCATGAATCTCAATTAATGAATTTTGAGGGCAGCCGACAGCTGTCCGTCCTCTGCCTTCCCCCTGAGAAGGGTTTGGCCCATTTGAATTCAGGTTGCTTCTACCTGAAAGTGGGAATTTCTCCCCAGCTGTCACTGAGTGCCTTATCCACTGGACAAAAGGGACTCAGGAGTCTCCTTGCCACCTCTCTGGTGTTTCTGTGCACTGCAACCTTGAGATACTTTTACTTCCCCAGAACACAATTATTTTCTTCTCGAGAGACATCACCTGTAAAATCCTCAGTGGCTCCATCACCCTCATTTTTATCTCCAGGACCAAATCTGCCTTTTGTTGCAAAGAGCAAGATACCCTTAGGCTCAAAACTATTGAATTAAAAAATCAAACCTGGGCAAAGGTAGTGGAAAACTCATGCAAAAAGAAGTTTTACACTGAGTGCTAATGACATGCACAGCTCCAAACAAGCTGCTGCTGCCTCGGCCCTGGTGCACAAAGCCCCCCAGCCTGCCGGCACCGTTTGATCCTGCATATAAAGACTCCAAGTGTCCTCCAGGACCCGTTTTACAATGGTGTGACTCTGCTTCCCCCGTGCTGGCTGCTCCTGATTTACCAGAGCACAATAGAAACGTAGCTGTGGTCTAAAGGAGCGGCTCCGAGGGCCTGCCGCGCTCGCGGAGAGAATGGCAGCCTTTCTTCAGCTGTCTGGAGGGATCTGCTTCTCTGCTAAGCTCTCTGCAGCCATTTGGGAAGCCCCTCCAGGCAGCTTACCATAACTTTTCAGCTCTATAGGGCCATTCCTCTGGGTGAAATGCCTCTGAAGTGGCCACGGCTTCGGGAAGCAATTGTGTTAAGCCTGACCCTTCCTCTGATCTTGTCTCTCCTCTGGCAGGTGTCCACGTCCTGAGCTGCAGGAACAATCCCCTGATTATCCCCGTCATCCATGACCTCAGTCACCCTTTTTATCACACCCAGGCTGTCCTCATTAGCTTCAGCTCCCAGTTTGTGGCCATCTCTGGGGTGGCCCTGCGTTCCTTCCACAACTTCGACCCCATCACCATCAGCAGCTGCCAGCAAGGACAGACCTACAGCCCTGCGGAGCAGAGGTGAGCTTGTCAGCCCTGCTTCCCTCTGCCTCACACCCACCACCCCCAGCGCCTGCTGGGGCTGGGGAGGAGGCAGGAGGGGCACAGCAGCTGAACCCTGCTGACCCCTTTGTGTCACGGGTAAAAAACCGGCAGTGTTCTCATTGATCAGGATGGATGGGACATTTAACCCGCATGGGATGCTGTTAGTGAATTATTTCCTCTTCCTTTCTCCTCCCTCCTTTATGCCAAGCCTGGAACTGGGGCCAGTTCGCTCTGCACACATTCCCCAGCTCGGTGTGGTGTTGGCCACTCACACAGCATTTCAGTCTGAGCCCCGTTGTGCTGCCAGAGTGCCAGGGACCTCCCAGGGAAGGGACCACGAGGACACAGAGTGCACAGAGTGACGCCTGTGCCCTGGAGGGGCTGGATCCTGCCAGGTGCTCAGCCCTGGCCATCAGCATCTGCTGTGCTTTTATGGCTGGGTGAGGCCCTCAGCACCTCTCTGGATCCGACCCCCATTCTGAAAAGCTCTGTGGGACCCCCCAGGATGAAAGGTTTATGGCTACCGTTTTATTCTTGTTGTTATTACAGACACATCAATAGATCACCACCAACCCCTCTCAGTCTCTGCTTTACAGCATCCCACAGAGATTGTGACCTTTCATGGCCTCTGGTGCAGCAGCTTCATGGATCCTTTCAGCGAGGCAGTGAAAAGAAGAGGAGAGAATTTAGCAAAACCCCTGAAAGAATATTTTTTTTTCCTTCCTTTGTGAGTTCAAAGTTGTGAGCAGTTGTCATACCATAGCGGCAGCAATAGTAAAACTAGTTGCATATCCCAGCAAACCTCTGCTCAGCCTCCTAAGCAAGCTGTCAGGTTTTTTGATAATGTTCTGGCTTGTTTTGAGGACCTGCTTTTATTCCAGGAAAGGCGGGAGAGTGAGAAGGGGGAGAGGGAAGGGAAAATAAAATTTAAAAAAGGAGTATATCTATAGCTAAATCAATCCAGTCAGTGTGTTCTGACCTAGATTCAAAGCGTCTGATCGTTGTGTGCAATAGGTTGTATAAATTCAGAGGCCCAAAGACAGCAGGATCAAGTTTCAGATGAGAAGTCTGGTGGTGGAAGTGTGGCCAAATCCCAGCGCCAAAGCAGGACAGAAAAAGGGCAAGAAAACCCCACTGGAAGGAGAGGGTGAGAAGCAACAGGGAGCTCAGGAGGACTGAGACACAGGGCCACATTCCACTGCCCTCTCAAGTTTTCAGTAGGAATTGAACCATTTGTTCACTTATTGAACTAGAAGTGCTCTGTGTTTGGAAAGTTATTTCCTTAATAAAAAATTCATCCCCCTTAGGCAAAGCTTCAGTGAGCCTCTGCAGCCCAGCAGCCCAACCTTTAGAAATCCCTTGAGGAGGAATCACCCGCCTTTTGCCTCTTATGTTTCTTCTTGATTTTTTGGTATCATTTTTTTTTGGGGATGCACTGAACCCTCTCAGCCCCCTGCTCTCCCAAACCCCCATCTGAGCCTCACTCTTTCAAAGTAATGTTTTAGGTCTTGGAGGTTCCAGCACTGGATTGATCATACATTCCCCATGTCTGACAGGGAACTAGAAACTCTCCAAAGTAAAGCCCTGGTCCAAAGGCAATTGAAATCAGTGGAATTGTTTCCACTGATGACAGTGCTTCAGTGGAGAGTCAGTCCCAGTTTGCCTTGTGCTGGGATCATTTGGGGTGGCCAGGTCTGTTTTCTCCTGTACAAAAAACTCAAAGCAATTCAGGTACCCAAAATGTAGAAAACGTTGCGCATTAAGCTTTGCAGCCAGGAAATAGGTGACACCTTTGCTGTCACCTGCTGTCTTTTTCCTTGGTTATTTTACCCAATCCAGGAAGAATAGAGAAAGATAGATTTTTAAAATGATTTCTTAACCAGCTCAGAGGCTGGATGTGGCTCTTCTGCCTTCCCTGCTCACAGTCTGCCCATCAGATTCCCTTGAGGTGCCAGTTCCACACTGCCCATCTTTCCCTTCTCCCTTTCCCCACTGGTTGCATTTGCCTAATATGATTTTTAAGGTGTTTAATGAATTTTTAAAGGAACTTGTCTTCCTATGTGTGATCATCAGTTTTACCCCTTTCATTTTTGCCTGCTTTTTGGCTTCTCTCTATAAGAGGTATTATTTCTCTATTTCAAGGAGAATTATTTTGCTTGGAGAGGATTTATAGCCAGATACAGATATTTCTAGGCAAGTGTGCAGATTTTAAAATTGTGAGAGAAAAGAAATATATTGTCCTTTAAAAGTTAACACAGTTTTTATTTTGAGGGTGAATAGATCCCTCCCAAGGGCTAGTGACAACTTAATGACTGAAAATAAAACATGCACTTACTCTTCTTTCTTAAAATATGTATTATAGTTAGTATTTTAGAGAAAAATGGGCTTAAATCTAAAAGTCCAATTGGACTTTATAGGTAGTTGTCCTCAGTCATTTTTAGTTGTTTTGAAAATACATTCCATACTCCTGAAGACATTTATAGTTTGAAAATTCCTACTCTGTCCTTTCCAAATTTATTCTTCCAGTTGTTTTTTTCTGCTGCCAGTGACTACAGGCTCTTTTTTTTGTTTTCAGCAGAAGTTTACCTCACTGCTGGAGATGTGCTGTAAAAATGAGACTCTTTATTTCCACATTGCATCCTTAGACCAGATATAATGGCCTGGTTAGTTCTTCTCTTGTGCTTTATAGCTCGAATTATTATACTTTTACTGTTTCCTGTGTAGCCTCACGCAGTGGACAGTGAAATTGGGTGTGCAGAAGCAGAGGTGTAATTTCCCACCCACCAGTCACTCGAGCAGCAAGAAGGCTTGATGTGCTGTGGCTTCCTTTGACAGCAGTTCCTCGAAAATCAGGTTTTTGTCTTTTTCACTGGGTAGGCAATGTCAGCTGTGGGTCACCCATCCCTGGGAAGGCAGTTCCTGGGAAGTGCTGCTTTTCCTTGGTGGCACTTCCCTGCCATGGTCCCCAGACCTGTCTCTTCCACCACCCCTTCTGGTGCCACTGTTCCTCTCCTGCAAACTGCAGACAGGAAAGCCCAATTCACCCAGTCCAGCTGTCAGAGCTGTGCATTTCAGGAGTTTCCATCATCCCAATCCACCATTAACTCTGTGTTCATAGGGAAGACAGGTCCCCCCTGGCTCCCCACTGCTCTCCAGTCTTCTTGCCTCACATTGTCACCACCTCATGCTTTCTAATGAGTGTAGCAAAAAGATTTTCCTTTGCTTTCTCTGGCTAAACCTTGGCACAGCATCACTGCTACAGCTTCAAAATTGCTTCTGCAGGGGAGATCTTGGGTTTTCCTCCCTCTCTAAGTGTGCATATCAGGGTGTTTGACACTGTAGACCAAGACCCACCCCTCACCACCACATCATCACCTGCTCTGGCCTCTGTGGAGAGGTTCCCTTTGAGCTGCACCCTTTGCTGCCCCAAACAAGCCCCAGGGACTCTTAGCCCACTCCAGCTCTTCTCTTTGTCTTGTTCTCGCCTGCTGTCAGCTTCCCCAACAAGAAATGATGAAGATAAATCTTCAGCAGCAGAGCAAATGCAACCGCTCTTTACAACTCTGGTTATTTTTTTTTTTTTTTTCCCTTTTCATAAGGGGGGAAAAAAGGGTTTCCTCGTCTCTTTTTGTTGTGAATTAATGCAGCTTTCTCTTTCTCCGTTCGGCCGCCTTTCCCCTGCCCTGCATTCTGTCATTAAGCACAATCTCTGTCAGCTTGCTTCGGGTGAAATTAATGAATTTCTCACAGAACTGTTAATCATAGAAGCTTTGGTCCGTGACATGTGTTATAATTCAATGGGTTTTTAACCTTCGCCCCGTTTTGGTAATTGGCAAACGGCATCATTTGGCTTTTATTAAAGTGGAAGGCAATGCATTTTCTTTGTTTGCCTGGACAGACTCTGGCAGGGAGACCTGTGGGGCTGCTGACGCCCAGGGACACAGTCCCACTTCCAAGCTGGCAGAGTGATGGGGCTTTGAGAGCTTTATCAGTTCAATATGGACCCCCCTGGCAGGAGCAGCTCACACTGCAGGATGCAGGCAGCCTGGAGGCAGAGCCCGTCCCCAAGGAGAACTTGCCCTGCCAGTGATGGGGACAGTGAGGGGGACGTGCTGGCTCATCTCTCTTGGGCTTACCTTGGGCTGGAGAAAAGGTTTTCTGTAAACCTCTGGGTTTAGCTTCAATTTGACCCTTTCAGTTTGAAATAGGGGTTTGCTGGGATCGCTGTCAGAGTCAAACCCAGCAGTACTGAGGGGACATAGCTGAAGGGACCATGGGTGACACCACTCACGTTTTTGCTGTAATGGATGAAGTTTGAAGGCAAACACCTTTTTAAGAAAGAGCTTGATCCTTCTTCCAGTTAGCACAGGTTCACCAGTCCCCATCCAGACCCATGGATTTGGGTAGATATTCAAGATTTTGTAGTAATACAAGGAGACAATGTGCTTTAGCTGAAGACTGAAGAAGACATTGTCACATTTTCAGTTCTATTTCTTTTAAAATTTCTATGACAAGAAATATGGCTAGCAGCCTCTACATATATGTAGAGAGAAAGAGCCTGCTCTTGCCTTTAGAGTAACCTCTAGAGAGGAGAACACAAACCCATTATAAGGATAAATATGTTAGAAAAACCCTCAGAAGGCAACATGTATGTGAGTTGTGTGGATAGTGGCATAGGACAAAACCAAATTGCACTTCAGATCTGCAGCCCAGGCTGGCCCAGAATGTGGAAAAGGGAGTTTTTTGCTCTGTCCAAGAGATTATGTTGTAGCCCTTCTCCTAAAAAGTACCCACCATGAGCTTTTAAGCTCACCTGAGCTTCGATATGTGTCCAGAACCATCACAGAGGAAACAAATAATTAAGGCACCATGTTAAGATGAGTTCTTGGAAAAGCGCTTGACCTTGAGGTTAGGAAAAGAAAGTTTGGCTGCTGTAAGCTTTTTGAAAGAGGAAGTCCTGAATTGTTTTTATGTGAGGAAGGAAGAACTCCACTTAATTGTTATAATTTTCTATAAACATGTTAAAATACAAATGTTTCTAGGATTGTGTCACTAAAGCTCCAATTTAGCAAAGCCCTGAGCTATTTGCTTACATCCCCCTGTAGTCAAATCTATCAGTGGGACTTAACTGTGCTTTTGAAGTTAAGCACATATTTAAGTGCCTTGCTGAATTGGGGCCAATATTGGCACAGAGAAATACAGATTTAGAGCCTAATGACTGAGCTCATTTAGATTTGGGATGGGCAGAATGGATTTGAATCAAGTAACAACTGGCTCAGAACTTCAGCCTACATGTGAAGCTAACTCAGTCCAGGGCTTTTTACATCATTGAAACATCCTTCCTTGATCTGTTTTGAACATGCAATGGAAAATGTGTGCAAGAAATCCACTACTCTTTGCACTCACCTCAGTGTGAAGATGTTGTTTTAGGAATTGTACACTGCCAGGGAAAGAAGAGGAACAAGTGGATCCTGAAGGGAACCTAGTGAAATAAACACTTGTCAGGGAATGTTCCAGGCACCAACACTTGTTCAAGTAAATCGTTAGAGTGGTCCTTGGGTCCTTTGTGTAGCTTTGCTCCAGACTATTTTGTACTCTGGTAAGGATTTTTGGGAGTTAGAATAGAGCAGGGACGATTTGAAATTGGCAGTTTTGATGAAGTCATGTGATTTTGACTGCAAGAAAATGGGATAAACTGTCCTATGCCAGGAGTCAACATGAGTTAAAGCTGAAGTGATTTCATTCTCAGATGCCATTATATTGTTTCTTTCCTGAGGAATGCACATTTTCTGGAACATGTGATGACTGACCACTGCTAAATGGCAGTACCCATGCAAGAGCTTCTGTAATCCACAAATGGATGTGATGGGTTCTTTGTCTAAACGTCCTACTTGGAGATATTAATTTCTCCTTCCTAATTCTGCATTTGCAGAGCTCAATTCAGGATCATGACTTCAAAATTCATTGGGATTTATGGCTGACAGTAGCTGATACCAAATTGGAACCAGTAGCTAGAGAACCAGAAATATTTAAATTAGAAACATTTGGTGGCAGTGGTTGTTTTTTTACAAAAAGTGAATGGTTGTATTGTTTGTCACTGAAGTCATTCATATAGAGTTACAGACAGAGAGAGCTGCCCAGATGATCTGCTAACCAAGGCATAATCTGGAGCCTGGAGGGGATGGCTAAAAATGTTCCCTGGCCATTTCAGAAGACCACAAGGGGACTTGTAAACAGAAAGAAGAACATCACAATAAGTGTTTCTTAATGCCTTTGTCTGTGGCGTTTCAGTTCTGTAGGACTTCTAAGCCCAGGCTTGCTCATCTGGTGTCCTGATCTGAACTCCAGAAACCAGATTATTTTTCTCCTTTACATTGATGGAAATGAAAAGCGATGCCACTGGCTGTGGTGACGTTGCTTCAGATTTCCCTCTGTGCAAATTACAAGGGTTTTCTTGGGCTCATCCTTCCCTCTGAAGCCATTCAAATCTGAATTCAGTGCTCCACTAATTCACATAAGTATTAGATTAAAGAAGTCTGCTTTTTTTTTAATTTATTTTTCCAACTTTGAAGAAGGCTTTCAGATTTTGAGGCAGTTTTGCAATGGGCAGTCGAGGTTTGCAGTCTGTGTTTCTGAGAGTGGCTTGGCAATACTGCTCTTTTTTTTCCCCAGTGAGTCAACTTCCTCAGCACTGCAGCCCTGGCACAGGAGACACTCATGCTGCTGCCTCACCATCTGAGAAATGGAAGGCAGCAAAGTGAGAGTTGGCCCTCATGGGCCAGTCTAACTGGGATGTGTAAGAGGGAGGGTTCCACAAAGCATCATTCCACCATTTACACTCTCACTCAACATCCAGCATCAGATGTTATCGCTGATGTCAGCTGAGGTCTTACTCAAACAACAGGACCATGAGGTTGGTAGGGTTAGGAAGGGGTTGGTAAGGTCCTGCTCTGCTTGGGGACCCACAGGGTGTGAGGCTCATGGTGTGTAAAGCCTGTGTTCACACCCCCAGCTGATTAGTGTTGGGCATTTGCCAGGAACTAGCACCTGGCTGTTCTCCTCACCTTGTTTCTCTGGTGAGAAACACCACCTGGGCCACCTGGGCACAAGGATGTGCTGCTCACTTGATCTGCTGCTGCTCCAACCACAGCCTTGTTGATCCTTACAGGGTTAAACCCATGGCAGTTTAAATCTGTATGCCAGGCTGTGAGATGCAGTGACTGGAAATCTGTGAAATCCTTGGTTAGTGGGTGGGGATCCTCCTAAAAGCAGGATCACCCTGGATAGGCCAGCTCTGGCAGAGATCATCCAACCTGCAGATGTGATGAACATCACAGCTGTGCTGATAGCCAGGGGTTTGTTGCATACAAGGGTATGGAGTTGGCCAACACAGAGGTGGAATTCTCCTTCCTCAGCTCTGTCAGCAGTGATGCTTTGTGCACCATGAGGAAATAAAATACTTCTGAATGTAGGAATTGTTTATGGCTCATCATACTCCAGGGAAAGGCCAACACTGAACAATCAACCTTAAATTACAAGCAGTGGGCACTTCCCATATAGCACTAGTGAGGGACAGAGTTGTGCAGGTACATAAATACAGTCATTTAATCTGATCTAGAGCACAGTAGAGACATGTGCAGATGTGCTTCTCTATCAGTAACATGGGGATAACAATACCAGCCCAGGTGTCTCGCAGGGGTGTCACAAAAATTAATTAGATAATGTCTGCACGGTGCTTTGAACACAGCAAAACACCATGCACATGCTAAGTCAGGGCTTACTAAGCTGAACAGGGCTTTAGTGGCTGTTAACCCTTTTTTTCTGTAGACAGGAATAACTGCTTGTAATCTATTTCAAAATATGTATATTGATGTATTGCTTTCCCTTCTTTCTATAATTTTCCCTTTCAGGTTCTTCCCTAAATAAGCAGATAGTGAAATAAGTTAACGTTTTCCCTCCTCAGAACAAATTTAACTGTATTAAAATTAAATTAATTTTTAATTTCATCACAGAAATATCACCTTGTAGGTGTCCTTATCCCAGAAATTTCATCTTTATTCCAGAAACATTTTGCACATAGAATTATGGAATGGTTTGTGTTGAAGGGACCTTTAAAGGTCATCTGCAGTAAAGAGAGACATCTTTAGATGTGATTGCTCAGAGCCCTGTCCATCCTGGCCATGAATTTTTCCAGGGATGGAGCATCTCTGGGAAACCTGTGTCAGCGTTTTACCAGCCTCATTGTAAAAATATTTCTTCCCTCTCTCTAGTCTAAATCTCCCCTCATTCTTTAAGACCCTCAACATTTTCATTGCTTTTCATTGAGGAACTAGCCCATATTCACATTTGAAGATGTGCTATAATGTTTGACTCAGATCATCAGAGATGGTGGAAGATTTTGTGTTAATCAGACATCTCAGTGTATATAAAAAATAAACAAAAATCTCTTTTTGCAAGTTGTGCTAAATGTTACAATAATTTTCCAGAGGGAGAACAGACAGTTTCCATGGGAGAAAGATTTTATGGATGGCAGGAGAGCAACTGGAGAGATCTGAAATGACAGCATGCTGCTGAGTTTGATAAGGGCTTATCAACACAGCTACACAGTTGATGTTTGGTGTTCCTTGTGAAGTGGAATAAAATGAATGTGATGATTTCAATCGAGCTTCTCAAAGATAAGAGTGTCTATCACAGAAACCCCTCCTCACATGTGCCCACTTATCACTGCCAATATCAGCACTCATGGATTCAGCAGATTTAAAATTGGATGGGTCATGAGGACTGCTCTTGGAGGGAGTGTTATCACGGGAGGGAGGGGGGGAGGGAGGGAGGGATGGATGGGTGGATGGATGGATGGATGGAAAAATGGACATTAATACAGGAGTAGGGAGACCATAGTGCAGTTGAATATTGCAGAACAGAAGGTACTTCTGCAGAATTGGCAGGCTCTTCCCTTTTGCTATAAAACCTGTAATTTGCTGTCATTGTCACCACTGTGCCCACTGCCTCTGTCCTTCAGGACACGCACCAAGAGGCTGTGGAGCCCTTTCCTGAGCTGGGCTCTGAACTCTCTGACCAAAGTCTGTCACTCAGACCCTGCTCTTGTGGAATGGATTGAAATAATCAAATAACAACACCACCACTCCTTGTCTCCCTCCCAGCTGTGTCCACTACTCCTGCGAAGCCACCGACTGCCAGAGGCTGGAGATCGAGAACGCGGTGCTGAACTGCACCGGCGGCACCGGCTGGGACAGCGGCGCCCAGTGCAACGTCAGCTGCAGGACCGGCTACATCCTGCACATCCACAGAGACGATGATCTCATCAAGAGCCAGGTTTGTCCTGCCACGGTGATTTTTTTTTATGATGCACAAGACCAGGATGAGCAAACAGCTGTGGAGGAATTGAGGAATAACTCAGGGTAGACGCTAAAATCTCAGCCTAGCCTTGGGACAAGGTCTTGTCCAAATGCTTGTCATCAGAACAGGAGCCCTTTGACTCTGAAGGAAGAGTTTCTGGCAATTAGCAAAGCTCAGATGTTCACTTAATTTAGAAATTTTCAAACCAAAAACCATGTTTGTGTTCAGTCCTTGTTTGATCTCACTGGTTCTACTCAGCCAAACCATTTGTTTAGGTTGAGTAGAGGGAGTAGAAGGGCTGGTGTTTTGAGAGTAGGGTGCTCATGTTTTTGCACAACCAATTTCTGGGTAAAATACCTTATTTTTATTTCTCAGATTGAGATGAACAACATAGTAACTCCTTTGCAGTGTTTCAATCCATGTGCTCCAACCACACCCTGACATGTAGAGCATGGAGGGCACAGAACAAGCACCCAAACCCTTTTGCTTCCAAACAAATCACCAAAAACCTCCCCAGCAGGGGAGGAAATTCTCCCCATCCTCTCTAATCTGTGCATTAATAGTCCAGTCCTACAAAAGCAGCACATCTTGATGCAGTGAGGGGGGTATTGAGGAAAACCAGCAATTTTTTTAAACATAAAAAAAAAAAGCAAGTGCTTTGTGCTGGGGGAGGTGGATGAGATACACGTGCAGCATGGCCCTGGGAGCAGGATGCTGGGGACAGGGGGATGCAGAGCTGACACCCCACTTTGTGCCTTCATCTCTAACACTGCCACATCCTCTGAGTGAGACATGGGGGTGGTTTCCCCCATCAGCACCTTCTCTCCCTGGTTGTGGGGGCAGCACTCACATCTGGGGCAGCACTCACATCTGGGCCGGGGGCTGGGGCAGCCACACTCAGCAGCCTGTCTGTACTTATGAAATACTGTGTTCTTCATAAGCTTGCAGAGGGGGGAGACAGAGTGGAGGGGAATGAGTCAACCCTTTCAACTCAATTACAAAACAAATACAGGACCCCGCGAGCTGGGGCCTCTTCCATCCTAATTGGCATCAGCACCAGAACCCCAGCTCCAGCTGAGCATTTTTACAGAACAGAAAACCAGTTCCCAAAACGAGCCTGAGCGGCTGAACCAGGAAATTGTTGGAAGGGATCTGTACATGGGGTACATGAAGCACACAGGGATCACAAACCAAATAAAAAAGCCTGAGCATTCTTCACCAGCCCTGTGTTATTTATGCAAGCAGTACCTTTTGGAGAGGCTTGGCCAGCTGGGCATGGTTTTGCTGGGAGAAGTTTGGTTTCAGAGCCTTGATCAGACTCATATGACAGGAGCAGAGGATTTTAGCACCCCTCACTAATGTGATTCACTGCCTCTTACAACACGCTTCCTCTCACCCTGCTCTGCTATTGCACTTCGTTGTCTTTTCCACCAATAAAACCCCCTGAGGCCAGTGGCTTTGTTTTGCTCAGTGCTGTGCATTCACTGTTCAAATTAGGGAAGGAGCGGAGCATCTTAAAGATACCCATGACCCTCTAAGCACATTAAACACGTGCTTTTAAAGTTTTGTAAGTGTGCTTCAGATATCTGCTGGAAAGGAACAGACAGTTTCTTTCACTGTCAACTTGTTTGATTTCTTTGTGTCAGGTGCTTCAAACTAGAACTTCTGGAACATGTAGACAAGAAATGAATTATCTGAGAAAGTCCAGAATCCATGGTCTGGATTTCTCATATCAAAAGGCATGGTGCTTCTTCCTTATTTGCTTCCCAGCTTCAGTTCCTCTTCCAGTCACAAGCATTTGGGGATGAGAAAGGGCACATGAGTCACATGAGTTGTCCATGGCCAGAGGGACTTTTGTCCCCTGTCATGGCTGGGGAACCTTGCACAAAGCTGTTCCTTGTTTCATTTTTGCCATTTAATTGGTTCTTTCACTTGTTTGACTAATTTGAGGGTCTAGGGATACATTTTTTCTCCTTTAACTGTCAGTGTGTGGGGCTGTCTGAGGAAGAGGAGGAAGGAAGCAGATACTGATGTTTCACACCCTTGGGTAGGAAGGAGGCTGGGCTAAGGTGCAATATCTCAAAGAGCAGACTGACCATCAGTGGCCCACAACCACTGCATGCTGGTGAAGGTGACTCACAGACCAGTGGAAACACCTTCGTTTAGCATTTGAACCACATTTGTCTTCCCTATTTCATTGAAAGACTGAAAAAAAGGGGCAAAGAGTGTGACAAAAAGTGACATTTTTCAAAAGCATCTTGGTTATATAGGAGCACAAGTCACATTTCAAATCAATCTTTTACATCTAAAGGGTCTTTGAAAAATCTTCTTAAAAGTTTCTGCACTTTCTGGACTCTGTGTCTTCTGAAGCTACCATTTTAATCAGTTTTAGGGCAAAACATTCATTCATTCCCTCTCTGAGAAATTGACATTCCCAAATTCTGTTAAAATCCTGTAAAATCACCAAACCCTAAAACTCGTCAGCACGCTATGCAGCAGAAACTGTTTGCTGCTTGAAAAGAAAAAGAAAGCTGAGCTGTTTACAGACTCTTGAGCTCTCTCTCATCCTCATTTAGTGACTTACAACAACAACAACAAAGAGGTTTGCATAGTGATGGAGCAAAATCCTTCATGTATCTTTCTCACAAAGAAGATCTTGGGGATGTTTTCATTCTCCCTCCCTGATTTCTTCCCATCCCCCCAACAACTCCATCGCTCTTTCTTGTCTTCTTCCTCTTTCCCCCCTTTGTCTTTCATTGCTTTCCTCCCCCTTGTCCTTCACTGAAAGCCCTGCTCATTCAGTGACTTGTTGTCATCTCTCCTTGAAGCCACCACCACTGCTGCTCTGGTCAAGAGGTGTTATTTAAAACCCAGCAGCTCCCTAATGTTGTGCAAAGGCATCATCAATCATGCCAGGAAAAGAAAGCACGGCTCATGTGGGTTCAATTAGAGGCACAGTAGTGGGCAGAAGTGGAAGAATACTTAGAGGGGAGGGCACAGCTGTTCATTTTTAAGGAGAGGAAACTTCACACGTGAAGCATCGCTTGAAGAAGGGGCTGGCTGGGATCTTGGGCAGCAGGAAGGAGACATGAATTCTCCCAGGCTGTTAAAAGTCCCAAGAAACAAATCTTTCTGGCACCAGATTTGTTTAAGTTTGCATCCTCTTCACTGCATCTTTGGAGGCCCCTTTTCTCTCCCCCCTCTTTCCTCCTTGCCCACCCTCCCTCCTTGCTTAAGCCTCTTTTGGAAGGCAGGACATGAAGGGAAGCAGTTGCTGTGATGCCAGTCAAAGCAGCACAAAGTGCCCAAAGTGACAGCTAATAAACCAGATGAGAAAGCCAAGTGCTTCGTGTGGGCTGCTGTGAGCTGGGTGACCTTGTCAGATCAGACAGGCGAAACAGGCACGTGCCTGCTCGGCTCCGGGTGGGAGAGCTGCAAAGGCAGAGGCTGCCACTAAGACCCAGCACCAGATCCAAGGGCTGAGTCTATCAGAAATACCTCCAGGGTGTGGCATGGAGCTGGGGAGGGACAGGATCCTGCTCAGCAGCCAGGGGTGCTGCCCCTGGGCACTGCAGATCCCTCCCTCAGGTGTGACACTGAAAGAGGGGAAAGTCAAAAGCTGGTGGGTGCCATCAGCAATGATTTCTGTGGTAGGTTTGTCCTCTGTGCTTCCAATGACAGCCACTGGTCTTTGTCTCCATCACAGGGAATGCTCTCTGCTGTGTCCTGCTGCAGAATTACATGTGCTTCAAGTGATGACATGATAGACATGCTCTAAAATGTGCCATTATTATGTCTGACCTTGAAAAACTCAGCTTCCATCATACCAAACATGGAACAAATTACTAGGAAAGGATGAGTAGCCAGGGTCTTCCATAGGCACAGCTTCTCTGCTGGGGAATGGTCTTCCCAGGATGAGGAAAATCCACAGGGGTCTGAGAGAGCTCTTACAGATTAGGTTAGGGGCTTTGTGGGGAAAGTACCACAAGAAAAAAACCCAGAGATGAAAATGAAAATGAAAATGTGGAGACACTAATTATTAACATTTTGATATCAAGGTCTAGAACATAGGCACAGATAAAGGACAATGGGAGTATGGCTGTGGAGAGGAATCCCTCCCAAAGAGAGGGGACCCCAGGCCTGTAGCACTTCCAGCAGGCTCTGGTGTCCTGCTGCTTTCTGCTAACAAAGGCCACGGGTTGCAGCTGAAATACTCTCACAAGTGGTAACTTGGGCAAACCAATCCTTTTGTAAAGTGTGACTGTCATGCACAGATATTGCTTCTGTTTAAATTTTTGTGTTATATTCTGGTTTCTGTTTCTTTGGTGTTCTGCAGAGGTACATCTGATGTGTAACCCTATCATTAGAGAAACTTCCTCATGCACCACACTGTGTTTCAGCAGCCAGTAGCAGCTACTATGAACACTCATTTATTCCTGAACTAGATCACAGCCACACCAAATAACTTAATTCCTGGAGCTGAATCTCTTGCCATTGATACAGCTTCCCTCTGTTCATCATGAATCCAGTATCCAACATGAAACTATGCAAGACCTGTGTCTTTTCCATAACATTTGGATAGCCCCTGACATCATTAGCTCGAGTTTATTGACATCAATATCTTGGGTTTATGTTTTAAGTTCCAGCAGCTATGTTGCTACTGTGTTATTAGATAATAGCATCTGTTAAAGGGAAATGGATGGATGTCTTTGCTGGATGCTGGAGCAGCTCATCCTGGAGTGCTGATGGTTTGCAAGACAGGGGAATATGCTGTGTTGTTCCTTCTCCTGTAGCCATCACACTGCAACACTCTGGAATCTTCAGGACATCAACTGCCTACACTTTATATACACTTTTTAATGGTACAGATATTCTGATAAGCAACAAAGAGAGAATTAACAGCCACTGGGGAGTGAAATTATTGGGAATGTGAACACACAGTATCCCTTCACCTGATGGCTCTGAGTATCCCAGAATGTGCTACTCTGAGTTTGTAGAAAAGACATTTTTTTCTGTCAGCAGTGCTCCCTGTTTAAATAAACTCTACGGTCTAGCAAAGGGGTTTTGTGCCCACTTGGGAAGTGTCCAGTTTCTCAGCTCAGGGACTGCTTTTTCCATTCTGAATGCAACCATATATCAAAGGGAGACAGGTCTGAACTTCTGTTGAAACCATTAGGGTGTTTTTGCAAAAAGGGAATCCAGGTCCCTTTGATGTGTGCTAGAAAAATTCCCTTTCCTTTTATAAACCCAGATCAATGGCCGGCGGTGCAAATCTCCTGTGAGCATACCAGCCCTGAATAAAATATTCCCTGGAGGCAGAGGAGTGCTGCTGTATGGCTTGGTCAGATTCCTCGCCAGAATCTTCCCCTTCTCATGTTTGGGTTTCTCACATTTCTTAACCTCTGTCCCTCTCTTTATTCTGGTGTAAAGGGAAGAGTTAGATTCCTCACTACTAGCTTTTAATATTTTTCCATTTTTAATTAGAAAGTGGATATGTTGTTTACCCTGTTCTCTTTGCCAACATCTGTTTGTCCTTCAGTCACTCAGTGAATTCATCTTAGCTTTAGATGGGTGGCTTCTTTAGTTCCCCCCGTTTTTCTTCTTTGCCCCTAGCACTCCAGGATTCCAGTGTGCTGTGCAGTTTTGGTTATTCCTCAGATCCATAGAAGTTTAGTTTCTGTGTAGCTGTGATGGTAGAGTGACTTTGGGGAAGTCAAAGCACAGACACTGACTCTGTGTACAACCTCTCAAGTTCCAGGTGCCAGTTATGGGCAGGACACTCTTGGGTCTGGCCATGGTAAATTCCTCCTGCAAAAGGTCTGTCCCTCAGGCATTCGTGTCTGTGGTGTCAGGACAGCAGGGTCCTGGTTCTGCGTGGAGCCTTGGGGCACTCTGCCAGAGCAGCCTCAGCAGCAGCTGTCAGTATCTGCACTTCCCCAGAGATCCCCATCCAAGGGTGACTGACACCTCTCGGGAGAGCCTTGGATGAGAATCCCAAATGGCTTCATGTCAGCTTGGCTTTTACTTCAAACCCAAAAATGAATTTGACTACTCAGAAGCACAGAGGGATCCCCTTGGAGTGGCTTTGTCACCACAAAGGTGACAGGGATGGGGGACAGCTGTCAGCTCCAAACAGCTCAGGCTTGTGCTCCTTTCCAATGGCAGGGCAGAGCAGCAGGTTCCCTCCTTGTCTCAGGAGGCCAGAAGAGAGTTTGGATTATTTGTAGAGCTGCACTCTTTCTATGCAAGCACTTTGGTGTCTCGCCCCAGAGGTGGCAGAAAATCCTTTCTCTGACACTGTTCCTTATGAGCCTTGGTGGGTTTGGTAGCTGCTGTCTAAATGATGATGGTAGGGACCAGACATGGCTGTGCTTAACTTGTGAGCCAAAATTATGGCTATTAGGCTTGAAATGGTTTTGATTCCTCCCTTGCTGGCTGTTGTGGCTGTAGCCGTGTGTCTTTTTCCAGACGGAGTCCAGCGTCACCATGACTTGCATGGATGGGAAGTGGAACAAGCAGGTGACATGTGAGCCCGTGGACTGTGGTGTCCCAGACCAGTACCATGTCTACCCAGCCACCTTCAACTGCAGTGAGGGGACCACCTTTGGCAAGAAATGCTCCTTCACATGCCGACCTCCTGCTCTTCTGAAAGGTATTGGGGGATGTCTGTGCAGTGACTGAGAGACACAGCTAATGCAGACTGCTCCTAGGAATACATGTTTCTCTTGCTGTTGGTTTAGAGTTATTCATGATATTTTAAGTAGGAAGAATTATGGGACTCAATGGAAGGTTTATTTATATTAGAAGTTAAGTTCCTTTGCATCTCTCTATTACCTTGCTTTGACCTTTCCTTGATCGCAGCTGGCCAGGCAGCAATGACAGGGAATATTGCTTCCATACAACCAAAACATGGAAAAGTCATAGGGATAAATCAGATTGAACTCTCTCATCTTCTTTCCCATGCCTTGTCTATTTCCACTGTCTGTCCCCCTTCTATGCCTCCTCCATGTATTTGGAAAGCCAAGAGAAGACTGAAAAGCCACACGTCCCAATGGCACAGAGCCCCATCACTGTTTTTTCTAATCCACCATCACCCTTCTTCTTTTCCACACTCATTTTGCTCTACTGTGACCTTCCTGCCCTCTTCTTGTTTGTCACTCTTCATGTTTTCCTTTTTTCTTTTATTTTTTCCCCTAGAAATAACACAGCTTGCTGCCCTCTGTCCTTTCCTCCTCTATATTCTTCCCTGCTACTTTTCTGCTAACATCCCCATCCTCTTCTCAGCACCATCAACTCTTCTGCTCACTGGCACATTTCCCTTTTTGATCTGGTCCTCAGGAAACAAGAAAATTGTTAATTTGAAGGAACTTGTCCATCTTGTAAATATACGTAACTGCTGTTGTCAACTCAGGTACAAACTCAATATAAGCTTTTTTTTGGACCCATGATATCTCCTTCTCTGCTGGGATTCATTGCAAACCCCAAAAAGGAAGGCATGGGAAGTATTCTTCATTTCAGAGAAAGGCTATGATGATTTCTTCATATATAAGCAAATTGCTTACTTCTTTTTAATTCTGATCGGAGATAACTAAAAACAGACAAAACACAGTCAAAGTTATGACTACTCAAAGGATAGTTAAGAGAAAATTAAGACTATTTTTTTGCAAAAACCTCCCTTTTTCTGTTTCTTCACTCACAGGGCTATGTTCAACAAAAGGTTTTTTTTCATTTTAAGTGCTTTAAATATTTTTGAGCGGGTGGTGAAAATAATTATAGTCATCATGACCAACAAGAGCTGATGACTCAGGCAGGGGTAGATGGAGAGATGACAACCAACCCCAGATCAGGGGCTGCAGCTCTGGTGTGTAACATCACTTCACTTTTGTCCAGAAACACTGAGCTGTGAGGTAAAGGCTCTGTTTGGTGTAGAGCCATCACTGATGACTAATAAATGTTGCCACTAAGCTTCTGGAGAACAGTGTTGGAATGACTCATGGCTAATTCAATCACTGACGTCATGACAGCCACTGTTGGTAATGTCACAGCTTATCGCTTTGCAGTGGCAAGTATGATATCACCATGGCTGGGCTGGGAGCTGCTGCATGAGTCAGAGCAGAGGAACATGCTGGTGCTCCAGAAAAGAGCTCCCTTCTGCACAAAATACCTCTGCAATCATCTGCAGTTGGGGAGGGGAGAGAGAAATCCGGGGCTGATTTAATGTGGCTTCTCTTATCTTTGAGGGCAGGGCAGGAGGGCTCCTCCACATACCTTCCTGAGCCCTCCAGAGCCTTTTGTTTTCTTCTTCTTTGAATTCCAGCCTCATGCCCCGGCTCTCTTCCTCCCCTCAGAGAGAGATGGCATTGCTCCGGGGTTAGCACTTTGTCAGTATTATTTCGGATAACTCCGAAGTTGGCTCACTGTTGAAAATATGCCTTGTGGGTTGAGAAGAGTTCCTGCAGCAATGCTCAGGGATTTCAATGGAATATTAGGGATTTTTGAAGGGTTAGTGGCTCATAGCTGTGCTTTGTTTCTTAGGAAAAGCTTATTTCTTTTCAACATATGGTATAAAATAACAAAGAATGTAAAATACACTGAGACTGGGCTACTTTTAGCTTAACCTTCTGAAGTCAAGTAGGTCATAGCAGAGGCAAATAGATCTATTGTACCTTTTACCTTTGAGGTGTTGGCCAAGAAAGCTTCCTGAGGAAAATGAGTCTCTAATGAGTATTATGAATCATATTTATCACAGTAGTCCCCAAGGACTGAGAGTCCCCAGCTGAGAATGGCTCCTCATTGTGTTGGAGTAGTGACTCTAATACTAACAGATGCTGCTCCAAAAGGTTCCAAATTGAAATAAAAGGGACAGATTCAGGGAAAAGATATAACACAGAAGCCAAATGAAGAATGTGATGGCACCAAACCCTCTGTTAAAGCCATGGCTTTGGAGAGGAGGGGGTTGGTGTATGAAACAAGCTTCCTTTCAGAGAGGAACAAAATAAGGAAGAGAAATACAAAAGATGACAAAGCCCGTGTGGCTTCCCCTATGCTATAGCATTTCCTGAAATAAGCACTGCCTGCCTGTCACCTGAAAGCAGAGTCCTTAATGATTTAATGACATCATCTAGAGTGAGAGAACGCACAGGACAGATGAATGCTCAATGCAGTTGAATTTGTCACATCGGCTGAGGGGGCTTTTGATGTCTTACAGGTGTAACAACATTTCAAAAGAAAATATTCCTGCTGAACGTTGTTAACTTTGCTCACTGTTCTTCTCAGGAAACAACAGCAACTTGACCTGCATGGAGGATGGGTTGTGGTCCTTTCCTGAGGCCCTGTGTGAGCTGATGTGTCGAGCACCCTCCATCGTCCCCAACGCGGATCTCCAGACCTCGCGCTGCCGAGAAGACAAGCACAAAGTGGGCTCGTTCTGCAAGTACAAATGCAAACCAGGTTACCACGTCCCTGGATCCTCCAGAAAATCAAGAAAGTACGTGAAAGACTAAATCTGTGCCATCAGCCTGGCTCAGAAAGCCATGAGTTACAGTGATTTTGGAAGGGGTTGTTTGTCACAGACTCTGTGTGCCATAGGGATTAGCATGGAGCAATTCCTTCATGCAGATAGCTGTGAAGTGTCAGTTTAGGTACCCAGCTCACTTAGGCTTCTTTAAAAATCCTGACCAGTACTCAAAAAACAGACTTTACCTTAGAAATACCCCTTTGATATGCAACCTGGGGAGTCCCCTTTGAAACCCTGCAGAAAAGGGTTAGTGCTGTCGTATACTTCTGACTCTGCACAAACCCACTTCAAACCAACCACAGCCCACAAGCCTGGGAAGCTGAGTTCTTGGGAGATGTGTCCAAGGCCAAAAGAGGAGTTTAGGCTGGGCAGCTCAGTGTTGGTTTTGCAAATAATTGTTATTTTTGCTCAGAGACCTCATGACGCAGATTCACAACTTGTTCCCCAAGCGTTAAAAGCTCCAGCACACCCATCTCCTGCAACCTGCTAGCAGAGCTCAGAGGCTTTAGAGGCTCCCAGCTGACTCAGCCACTCACTAAATATTGCTTTTTTCTGCACAAAAAGGCGAGCCTTTAAGATCCAGTGCACGCAAGATGGCACGTGGCTGCCAGGCGCCTGCGTGCCTGTCACCTGTGACCCTCCACCTTCCAAGTTCCACGGGCTCTACCAGTGCTCCAACGGCTTCCAGTTCAACAGCGAGTGCCGAATCAAGTGCGAGGATGATGACAGCCAGTCGGTGAGTCCCCCTTACCCAAATCACCTCAGCCCACACAAGTCTGGCTTTTTCATATCTTCCCTAAGGACACTGATCTTGGAGAGGCCAAGGGACATTGAGCTCTTCCAAAACCAGGGAAATGCAGAAGGGAAAATCATATTGGAAGTTGAGGGAGAGCCTGGAAATATTATTTTTATGACAGTAGGAACAGTATTAACTATTACTTGTAGAGAATTAGAAGTGACTGACTTACTGTTTTTGGACAGTAAGTGGCAGAAAAATCTGCCACAGTGGCTTTATGATCTGGCTAGAAAATCAGGAGCAACAAATCAAAGTAAGTAGGATGTGTGTTATCTATACATATCCCATGTATTCATTCTGTTTTACCTCTCTTTTTCTCTCCAGTTCTTACCATTTTATGCCTGTGTGTCGTGTGATAATTTAGCACCATAGGGATTATAACTATTCAGGTGAATTCACTCTAAACTTCCAAGTTTTTCTGGCTGTGAAGGTGTCATTTGGCATCAGAGGTCAGATCCCCATCTGGCACAAATCAGTGTGTTGCCTTTGGCTTCCTGGGAGCTGTGTTCACTGATATGAGAAGGTCTGGCCTCTACTATCTTATTTGAAATGCCTAGTTTTCCTCACCAGAGGTAATTATAGTTTCTGAGATAAGTAACTTCTCCCAGAAGTGCTGCTGCTCCCTCTGCTTTGGAAGACAAAGTGGGGATGTGGAAGCTGCAGCAACTTCAGGCACTGCTTGGAGCAGGGTGTGCTCTGACAAAGGCTGTTTCATATCATCAGAATTCAGATCATCAGATCAGAATCTGAGGACCTTTAAAAAGATACCAACGCTGCTTTAGGGGCAATTATGTGAAAGACACCTCTGGTACCTGCTCCACATGTTAAAAGCCCCTGTTCCCTGTCCTCTGGCCTGCCTTCTGCATGGTGACAACAGAGCCCCAGCGTTTCACATCAGGGCACCTGGGAAAGTTTTCCCTGTTTAAGACTTGGAGTGAGGTTATGAGCAGTGTGAAATGAGAAGTTGCAGGCATGGGTGCAGAGTGGGTGGGAGCTCTGGGACACAGCAGCTGTGGCTTTGTGCATCCACCACTTGCTCAGAGGGGCAGCATGTCCTGTGCTGTGTTCCAGCACTGCTAGGGCGGGGAAACTGGGAGCTCCAGGGCGATGACAGCTGGTGGAACGGGCTTGTGTTTGCTTTTAAATGAGGTGAACATGAAGAGGAGCAAGCAGAGGAATCAGGGTTACAGCAGTAATGAAGTAAGCTCAGGAAAGGGAGAGACGCAACTCTGTCTACTCACTGGGAGGGAGAGGAGTGACTACTCAGCTGTGAAAGCACCTTGGGCAAAGGAGCAGATAAAATCTTGAGAAAGGTATTTACAGTGAAAAGTATTTTCAGATATCTCAGAAAATAGTCTACAGAAGAAGAGCAAGGGCTCCTGGCACAAGCCAGAACCACTTGAGAAGTGTTAATTATTTAAGGATTAAACCCCACTAAGTCTCTCTCAGCTATATAAGGTGATAATACACATTGCATCCAAGCAAGAAACCCAGCAGGGGTTTTCACAAGAGATTTTGCAGGTCAGGGAATGATGGACAGTATGTTACTATAGCAATGGATATCCTGGGATCTCTGAGTATGTTGCTGATACTATACAAGGGTACCCTCAAGCACAGCCAGCTCCAGGAACATAAATCAGGTTTCATGGCTCATCTTTGAGAATCACATTTGAACCCTGGCATGAAAATTGCAAGGGAAGTGCACCACACTTGCTAAAACAGCAAATTGTGCTCAATTATAATTTAGCAATTTATTCCTGGCTTTGTCACCATGCTGGAAGACCATTACTTGGCTGCACATACAGCATCTCTTAATCACCAGGAATGTAATGGTCATTTAAGCAGGTACCTCCCCTGGCACCAGAGCAAGGGTCTTCCATTTCTGCATATTGTACACAAATCATATCAACAGTCAGATCTAAATTAATCAATCTCTGCCAAACTGGCCCTTAGGTGAGAATCACCAAGCAGGATCTCACCCTGAGTCCATCTGCTCCATTATTCCTTTCATATGATTTCCTTATTACTTCTGGCAATGGCCAGATGTCTAGAGAAGGGGAAGCAAGTCCCACACCGGAGTCTGCTGCTAATACCACTTTGCATCTCACTAAACACTATGTTCATTAACAAAGCTGAACAAAAAAAGGGAAGCATTAGGATATTAAGGACGAGAATATCACTGAAGGCTGAGCCCTTTTCCATGCCAGTACCAGGGGCTTGTGCAGGTCCCTGTGCAACAATGGGTGTGAGTTGTGGGGCAGAGCTCCTCCACAGGGATCCCAGCATGGACAGCACATTAAAGAATCCCCAAATATATCCAGCATAGTGTCCAAGAGCAGGGTGGGTAGATTGCAGGCAACGTGTCTGGCATGAAAACTGGGAGCGGAGAAGCAGAGATCCTGCATGATTCTCCCACCCAGTAAGGCCCCCACAGGAGTTTTGGAGCCCAACAACACCAGACCAGCTCCTGTTGAATGTCCCACATTGCCCCATGGCAGTTGGGCTCTCAGATCCCACAGAATAACTTGTTTGCACAGAAATCCTCAATGCTGTGTGGATAGATCTGACAAAAGATTGCCTGTGCACTCCTTTGTTGTCTTTAAAGGGCATGATATTTCCCCTCGGACTTTGGTATTCATTCTTCACTATCATACGAAGAATCTCTTCTATAAGAGAAATGTCATATTCTATTCCTTACTCATTCCCACACCAGAGGATTTTTCGTCCTTCCCACCTGCCTCTGTGCATCTGTCTCAGCCCCTTCGCCTGCTGTCACTCAAGGCAGCCAAGCTCTAAAGAGCACGTTCTGCCCTGCTAAGCTCATGTCCCACTCTCCCTTCCTCCTTCAGATGGCCATTGGGGATTCTTTCTTTTTCAACAGAGATGATGTAACAGGTTAGAAAATGCAAAGAGGAAAAAGACTGTCTGCATTCAACACCACCTCTCTGTAACAAGGAGGAAGGAAAATGGGATGAAAGCACCTTTATTGCAATAGGAGTGGGGCTGTTCTAAGGTGTAGACCCTGCAAGGGGCTTATGAAGACCTTGAATTGCAGAGAAGAGATGTGTTTATTTCTCTCTGTGTGTGTGTGAACACTGTAGGTTTCCTTTTCTTTATTCTTTGGAAGAAAACTCCTTCTTACCCCTCCTAGAACTGGCAGTCCCAACCAGGGGCTTTTTCAGCTCCAACAGAACTTCGCTCCTAGCTCAGCTCTGCTCACTTCTCACCTCTCAGTCTCTCCTTGCTATTTTTTTGTTAATCCTCATTATCTCCTTCCCTCATTCCCAGGGCCGTGGGAGCAATGTGATCCACTGCCGGAAGGATGGCACCTGGAGCGGGTCCTTCCACCTGTGCAGAGAGATGCAGGGACAGTGTGCTCTGCCCACCCAGCTCAACAGCCACCTGAAGCTGCAGTGCGCCGGCGGCTACGGCATAGGTGGGTGAGCAGGCAGCAGGAGGCCAGGAAGAGGATGGGAATGGCAGGGAGGGAGGAAGGAGTCCTTCAAGTAACCTGTTTGTCCAAGTGAGAACCTGCTACGGGAGACTTTTCAGGGAAATGCTCTTAGAAAACATGAAGCTCTGAGAGGTCAGGCATCATGTAACATGCTCTGACTGCAGGCTCCTTGCAGAGCTTCCAGTTTCATGATGCGCCTTCTTGGCCAGCTGGTTTTCAGGGGCAGAAGCATGCCAGGCTGTGCCAGAGACACATCCAGGCTGCAAAATACAGGGAGGGATTGTACCTGCTTTTGCTCTTACACTTTCATAATGCCCCACTCCTTCAGCCACATGCACAAACCCGTGCTCCAGAAGCTGAAAGGCAGTGAGTTGACAGGAGAATGCAGCGCTAGGATAATTCAGGTCTCCCCAGAAACAGTATGAGACCAGCTAAGCATTCCCTTTGCTATGAGAGTTGTTTAAGAGCTGTTTTAAAGGGTCTGTTTTCATCCTTTCTGGGGTACCTGTTCCCTGTGCATGGTGTGATGACCCCTGTGCTCATCTTGGCTTCGTGTCACCAGACACAGGGAGGGACAGACACTTTGTGCTGTACACGCTATATTGTACTTTCAGCCCCCATTTCGGGGGTCTCCCTGCTGTAAGGGCTGCAACAGGAGCTGCACTGCCTGCAGCCCACACAGGTTTGTGAGGCCCCTTCCTGCAGCCCCCCTCCCAGCCCCTGCCATCCCCCTCCTGCCTCTGCCTGTCCCTTTGAACTTGGAGAAATTTCCTCCTTGCACGGCTCCCTCATTATATCGCAGCCATGCGGAGGACTACGAGCCTCCTTGTGTTCCCTCCCCGGGGAGGAGAACACGACCTGGATGAGATCACCGCTCTGTAATGATGCCAATTACAGATCATATATCAAAACAATTCCGACCCGCTCCTCTCCACGAGCGTGGTGGAGCACGGCAGAGCGAGCGGCGAGGAGGCTGCTACGACTCTTAATGTGGAGAGGCGTTTTACCCTTGAGACGAGGTTACCTCCAGGGCCAGACAGGTTTTTGCAAGGAGAGAAACCCCAGTTGCTGGTTTGGAGGGGAGCTTCTGAGTGCTGGGTGCCTGCCAGCTCTGGCTCCTGTCGCAGTGACTGTCAGCAGGTGCCAATCCCAGGGAGTGGTGGGCCTGACCCCAGGATGGGACCACACAGCATCATGGAGGTGAGGGATGCATGGGGCAGACCCCCCCACAAGAGTGTGGCTCTCTCTGGAGTGGTATTTAGAGCTCAAAGAGGGCACAGTGGTCACTGGGTTTCATTCTCAGCAGATGGAGACATACCACACACTTTGTAGGCTCACCCAGCACCAAGTGTTGGGATCAGATGTTGGGGTTTTCCTCTCTTCTTTGCATTTTTGAAAGCCTGATCAATGTCCTTTTGAAAAGTGTCCACCACGCTCATGGAGAGGAGCCAGTCATTCACTCTGGGGGTGGTGTCAATCGGCCTCATCCAGAAGGTCTTTGAAGCCACTTCCAGGTGTCCTGGGAAAGCAAAACAAACCTCAAGCTCTCCCCATCTTTCCAGCCTAGGTCTGGCTGCTCCCACTGACTCCTCCAAGTGGAGAATGTGAGAAGGCAGAAGCAGGTGGGAAAAATAATAGCAACCAGTCGTGGTCACTATGAATCCCACACACCTTCAGTAATTCCTCAGACACCTAATCTGCCCTTCCAGGCTGAGGCGTGTGTTGAGCCAAAGGTTCAGTTCTTCAAACCAGTGCAGAGATTAATTCCTCCCCCAGCGCTGATTGGAGTGCAGAAATCCTAATGACATGTTTGCAGCAGCTGTGCCATTCAAGAGTGATTTTCCAGGGGGGAAATGGTAATGGTCCAACACACAAGGGCTTATGGTTGTGTCACCACAGGGCTCTGGGATATTGCTGCAGAGTATCACAGCATGTTTTAATAAAGAAAGGACAGGATTCCCACTGGGCATGACAGTTAATCAGAGAAAAAGCAGGTTTATGTGTGAACAAAGCCATCATTACCTTTCTGCATACTTCTTATTGACTGTGGGACTTGGGTGATAGCTGGTCTCCGATATCATTAGGTTTGGTCACCCTTTGGAAGATTATTATTGGATGTTTGTAAATCTGACAGATCAAACAATAGGTTTCTGCCATGTCACAGGTGAGATGAGTTCAACAGCCTCTCCCTAATCAGCCCCACGGTTTGAAAGAGCCGTTGAAATGGAAAAACCTTCAGATTGTCTTGATGATCTGAAAGTGCAAAACCTGACCCCCTTCTTGGAGTTAATAGCCAGAGAAACACTTAGATTTGCAGCTTGTTCAAAAAGGCCCTGGAATACCTGCCACCCCCACGCTCTCCTGCTCAGTACAGGGTTGTACTCAGCACTTCACGTGTGGCTAGGAGATATGTGATAGTTATGGTTGACTGCTAATTGCAGTTTAGGAAAAATGAGCCGTAATCCTGTCCTTCAGCTGGAAGGATGCTGGAAGGGTCAGAAGCTCCCTGCTTTATGCTTTAGCTTTATCTCCTTTGTGTTTTGAACAGGCACGGAGTGTACCACCTCCTGTCTGGATCACAGTCACGAGCCCATCCTCCTGCGCGTGAATGAGACTGTGCAAGACATTCAGCACTGGATGAACCCTCAGAGAGTGAAGGTCAGTGCCTGGCGACTGCACGAACCACATCCTTTGTTGCATGTTTATGAGCAGAGAGTGATCAGTGTTACCTGCGCAAAATGGGGAATTTGCAACTTTAGGAAAGAATTCCTGATTTTTCTTGTGTCTGTTCCAGTAACATAGTGGCTTTCTCTCCAAGTGGCTTTCTCTCTGTGTTTACCAAGTGAAAGTCAGTTCAAGGTAGAGGCCTCACATCAGTGGGGTTTGATCTGGAAATGGAATCCATGCCACAGGAAGATGTGATGGACAGCTAGAGAAAGGGCACTGGCCAGGCTTTATTTTCTTCCTCCTGTTCTGTATTTTGCATTCTTTGGGTGGCAGGGCTGGATTTTTCTGTGCTACTTCTGGATGACAAAAGAAGCTGATACAGAGGGTTTTTCATTTCCCGACCCTGCGGAGATGGCTGAGTGCTCCCCCCGCCCCTCCGCCCGCATGCGAGAGCTGCCTGCTCAGCACAGCCCCTTCCAGAGGTCACCACTTCTCCCTCCTGCCTGCTGCAAACACAGAGCCAGCATTAGCTGCTCACACTCCCCGTCCTGAGCGTCCTCCAGCACACACCAGTGGCAGCGTGCCCTGGTGGGGATCTGCACACCATGTGCAGTGCCTTGCACACACACACTCAGCCCTGCTGGCAGCAAACAGCTGCTGGGTGTCATGACCACACTTGGGTGTCAGTGAGAGGCACACTCACCTAACTCTTCCTGGAAACCCTCTTGTTCCTACAAACAAACCAGGTGTTTGTAGCTTTGTGGCATTTCTGCAGGTGTGGAAATCAAACTGGACACATTTGAGCACATGGTGGAAGACCATGGCACATCAGGTGTCACTAGGTTGCAAGTTACTGATGGTGCTTGAGCAAACACCTCTGGCTTTTACATACTTGGTCCTGGCTTTGCAGGAGTCTGTTTTACACACCTGAACTCCATTAAGAAGGAGAACAAGCAGCCAACACAGCTCCAGCATGTCTTGAGCAGCTTTGACAGTCTATTTGCTTCTCTACATGCCTAAATGTACACCTAGGGTTTGGGATTTTTGAAATCTGGCCTTGGCTGTGGGTAGCAAGTGGCTCCAGAACTCTCCACCACTTTGAACTTCACTGTTTCATGCAGAGCAAGAGAATAAATCTGGGAAAGGAGTAGGAAACCTAAGTCCAGAGAATATGACAAGCTCATAATGTCCTTCCCAGCTTCCCATTCGCTCCAGACGCTGAGGTTCTGTGACTGCCTTAAGCCAGGGCTTTGCCAAGTTTCTGGCATAAAACATAAAGAAAACCCCTATCTCTGTATGAGGGGCAATTTCTCACTGGCCCTTTCCTGAGTGCCAGACTTTAAAGTGGTTTGTAATTCATGGGGAAATAAAGTGACAGCTTCCCTCCTGTTCTCTCTGCACTCCTTCACTTATTGATGCGGGTTGGTGGAGGGAGCTGTAACGAGTTTTATACCTGCAGGTCTCTGGAGGGCTCATTAGGCAGCAGGGAAAACATAGAGTAGTAAAGGGGGAGACAAGGGGAGTGAGGGATGGAGGAGAAATCATGGTTTCCAAGAGCACAGCGGTAAATAAGCCGGTTTTTTCCCCCTGATGGTGAAGATCTTGCAAGAGTTTAGGCCCTGAGCAGATACAAGTTCCACTCCACAAATGCTTTGTAACTAGAGGGTGAGATTTGGGCTGGAGTACTTTTGTTGGGAGGGAATACATGCCAGAAGGGATTAAAAAAATCCCTAATTAAAAAAATTGGTAGCTGTAAAACATCCATCTTATCCAACTCTGCAGATAACAGGATGTCACCCACAGGGAGAGTCACCTCTTGGGGAGATACGAGGAGAAACTCTGCCTCGTGGGAGTGGGGACATCCTGGAGAGATGGGACTGGGATGCCTTGGGGGAAGGTCCCCATGGCAATGTGTTATATATCATTAATAACCCATGTCTCTGTTTATGGCCAGTGACAGCTTTGCTGTTGTGCCATATGAGCACAGGGAGCAGCTGGTTGCATTTACACGGCCAGTCTTTGTGCATCTCAGAGTCCTTGAATGACGCAAAGGAAACACTTTTTGTTGCTTTAATTTCAGGCACAAGTAAAGTACAAATGAGGGCAGGATGGGAAGACGATAAAGGCAGGACTGATCTGTGGTGCTTACCTTTGAGAGGATGGGGACAGAGAAAACACAGGGAGAGCTGACAAGGAAAAATAAATAATTTGTCTGTAGCAGCTCAAGCAACATCTGTTATGGAAGCAAAATGGAAAGAAGGAACTATCCCTTCTCTGAGGGTTGTTTAGAGCAGAGCTGTGCAAATCACTTGATTTTTCGGTTCACTCAAAGTTCTCTTAAATTTAAAAAAAAATTCCTAATCAAAGGGACTCTTTTGTTATTGTGATTTTTGGTGAACCAAAAAATTGGAAGAAATAACATGTTGGTTTGAACATAACGTAGCATTTCATTTCCAAGGAGATTTTGTAAACTTTTTGTTTAGTGAAAATTAGAGAAAAAACAAAAACACAGCAAAGACTTAGAAATTAAATGTCCTCTTAAACAATAAACAACAACAGATATTTCATTTCACGAAATGTCTAAATATTTCTGTATCTTTCAGAATTGGTTTAGGTTGAATTGCTTTATTGGGTCTGAAACAGTTTGCTGAAATCAGTATAAGCTGGCAGTGTCTTCCAAATCAGTATTTTCAGCAAGAAAAAAAAAAAAATCACCTGAAATTTTCTATGCCTCTGTTCTGCAGTGGGGTGTGTTCAGAGCAGCCAGTGCTGTCCCCACGATTTTCCTTTCACTCTGTGTGGCACACAGAGCTGCTGAAGACACCGATGGGTAGAGCTGCCAAGGCTGACTGTACAGGCAGTAGGGAGAAAAAAGGGAAATATCTCCGAGAGACAGCTTGACAGCTCTTTCCCATTGACTGCAGAGAAACAGAGCAGACACCTCATTTCTTATGTTGTCTGAACTTGGGTTCTTGCCTTAGTGCTGAGTAGGGATAGGCTAAATAGTGTGCAGGCATGTGCATGCCTGGGAGAGCCTTCAAAGGGTCTGCATGTCCCAGCTCTGCTGGGCTGAGCGTGACCATGGCCCCTCTTCCCATGCAGACTGCAAGCCCTGGGATTAAAAATGTCCAGAACTCGTTAGTGGGAATGCTCCTTAAATACTCCCATAATCACTAAATCTTTGCACTTTTCCTCCTTCCTTCCCCTCTCAGTTTTTTTCTGTTTGTTTTGGGGTTAGTATTGTTTGTTTGTTTTTGTTGTTGTTTTTGTTTTTGTTTTTGTTTTGTTTTGTTTTCTGGTTTTGGAGAGCTTTGGGCTCATTTTGCAGCAGGGAAACTGAGTCACAGAGCAGTGATGTGACCTACTGTGGTGCAGCAGCTCCACTCCTGGGAAGGCAGGAGATCCCATTCCATCTGTAGCTACAGGAGGAGGCAGCCCCCAAGTCCCCTTTCCTGGCAGCAGTGGCTGATCCCCTCACTCCTAAAGCCCACGGTTAATTGTCCTGTTCCTTTAGTGCCTGAGGAGCGAGTTAGCTGAGAGCAGGAGATGCCTGTCCCTGGGCTCCAGCCCAGCAGGGACACTTGAACCATCTAAGGTGGAGGAAAGCTCTCCACTGGCCTCTCTGGGGGAAACCTGATCCCCTCTGCAGCCTGCAAAGGGTTGACATCATTGTGTTAGCCCCACCAGGGGAGGGAAGCTCCAGCACCGGAGGCACTGGGTCTTCCTTCAAAAGAAGAAAATGACAGCTTGATTTGCTTCCTTGGCTCTTTGTCACCTATTGTGGGAGCACAGCCCGGCTCCCTCTCCCTTCACAGCAGATGGAGTCCCAGCCACCCTCCACAGATGTGGCAGGGTGGCGTTCCTGGGTGGGGACAGGACCCGAGTGAACCCACCTGGCTGCACAGCTGTGCTGCAGGAGCTGGTGCACAGGGGAGCTGGGGCCAGCAGGGCAGCAGATGTCACCATGGGGGTCTGGAGCACAGGGCAGCACGGGGAAGGGACAGGGCTCCCAGGGACAGTGGCCAGATGGGTTTTACTTCCCAGGCACCACCTGGCATGTGGTGGATGTGGTGCTTCCATGCACCATGCCATCCTTTGCTGACATTCTGAGCACTCATTTACCTGTCTGTGCACACCGACTCCGTCAGATCATCCTCATGTACCACCTTCACCCATCCTTCATTGCTTTCTATACATTTGTTTATTTCAGGTGCCCCAAGCACCACCCTGTGGCACCTGTATGCCTGTTGGAACTGCAGGAGGCACAAACAATGCCCAGCAATCCAAATAATTCCCAATTTCTTGGTTTTCTAGCCCAGTCTCTCCCTCTGCTCACATCCTCTCTCCCAGTGGACTGCACACAGCACAGCAGCAGCCTGAGGGTGCAAACAGGCTGGGTGGTAGGAATTGAGGGCTTGAAAAACCAGTTAAAGGAGTCAGGACTATGGCCTAGGGTTCTTCCCTCTACTTCCAGCTCCAGGAATGTTAGCAGGATTGAATTCAGCTCTAGTGGTCTCTGTAGCAAAGGATGATCCAAGGGAAAGACAAAGTAACTGGTATGAAGCTGCTGGCAAGTGCCACTCCAGAGGAATGGAAATGTCCAAGTAACCCAGTGATTCACCTGGCTCCTGGCTTTCCTGTGCTGTGGAGAGCATGGGCTCATTCCCATTCCCTGGAGGATGCTCAGCCCATGGCTGTGTTTGGGATTGAGGATGACCTTGAGTGAGCACTCAGAGAGAATTGTCTCAGCAGAGACTTCACCTCCCAGCCATTCCTTTAAGGGAGGTGCTGGTGTTTTGATGCTTGAAGGGTCAGGAAAACAGTCAGTGCATCCTCTAAAAGGGATTGCTCTCATGTGGAAAGCTCCTTTCTGAAGAGCCTGGTTCAGGGCTATTTGGTTTCTTTTGTTCACTCTGCGTGCTCACACACTCACACAGACTGTGAGGTTTTGTAAATATTGATGCTTCTTACCAGGGGAATGTGAGGTGCTCTTTGGAAGTGCACTTCTTCCACTTATTGTCTGCTGGCCTTGGATACAGGAGACAGACCCCTGAGTTTTTTCCACTTCATTCTAATTCTTGGGTTCAAATGCTCTTGAACTGCTTCCTTTACTCTCCCCGCTCCCACTCTGTTGATTTGCCTTGTTTATTTTTCAAACCTAGAAAAGTTTCCTTTCTTCCCCCTCTGAAGTGCAATAAACAGAAGGGGGTGGGGGGAGAGAAAAGCCCTCACCATTTGTGGCAGGCAACAGCCTGGAAATCTCCAGCTGTCTGTCAAGAGCGCGCTGGGGGAATGTGTGACACCGCGGGGCCCCCGCACCTTGCAGCCTCCCTCCCTCCTTCCCAGGGGATAAACAACATCCTCCCCTCCCCAGCCACCTCTCTGCTCACACAGACAGGCCCTGTTGCGAGGCAGGTGGGGCAAGCTGGGCTTGACTAATAGTGGAAAATCCAAGAGCATCGGAAAGATAAACAGCCCGAGTCAGATAGTATAAAAGTCCTTTTTTCTAGCACACGCCAGGTAAGCCTCAAATGACACAAACTGTAAAAACAAGCTGAGGTTCCCCTGCAGATGGAATAAATTAGCCCTCAGATGAACAGGGGAAGGGATGGCTTGTGCGTTGGGTCTTCCCAAATGTTAATCCCTTCCTTCCCCAGGCCTCCATCCAACCCCAACCCCACACTTTAGGTGAGTGCCTGTGTGTTCATCTTGCTCAACTGGACACTGTAGTGTTTCATCTATGGGCAACAACCCCAAAGGAACATCGTGCCTGATGTTCTGCTGGATGGATGGGAGTCCTATCTTAAGGACGCCCATGGTGTGGAACCATCATCTCCACTGACCAGCCAAAGTTTTCATCCACTCTTTAAATCTAGGTGTCCTTGTCTCTGTCATTGTCTAGGAGGCTGGTCATCATTTTTGCCCAAAACCAAGTGTACAACTTTTTTCTATAGACAAAGTTGGAAAAGAAATTATTATACAGCTCATAAAATGTAGCCAAGGATGCTGTCCTGTCTAGGGGTTATTCTGAAGGTGTATAGTGGGAGGTGATTTTATTTAAGATGGTGCTAAAAAGTATCTGAAAATCCACCTTTAGCTGCTTCCATCTTCAAGAATCAAAGGTATGATGGGCAGTGAAATAAAGCAATTCTTGGAAACACCAAAGAAATCCCTAAATTAATTCCTAGAATGCCTCCCCCTACCCAAGAGCAAAAGTGGACCTGTGCCTTTGCCTTTCCCTGCCACGTTCCCCCACCATGAGTGAAATATTGGGCATGACATTTTAGGAGAACCTCAAATATTATTTTAATCTCAAATGCTCTGTTATTGCAAGTGTCAAGTCCAACACTTCTTGTAAATACCTGGAGGACAGCCAGGTCCTGAGAACACAAGAGGTGTTAGGAACTGAACTTCATTGGTTAAGTATTGGAGAGCCATAGGAGCCAGCACACTGACTTTCTGTACACTGATTTCTTTGTCTTAACCTGTTGCTTTTTTTTTTTTTTATTTCTTCCCTCCAGAGTGTTGTCTGCACAGCAGGACTCAAGTGGTACCCTCACCCTTCCCTGATTCATTGTGTTAAAGGCTGTGAGGTGAGTTCGGCTTTAGCTCAGGTGGTCCATGGTGACTCTCCTAAATCTTACAGAAACAATCACTGCAGGCACGTGGGCTGTAAATTCCGGTTTTCAAGTGGGGCAAGCAGAATTTTGCCCTGACCACCCTATCACACAGACTGATTGCCTGCACTGGTTCTGACACTCAGTGGGGAAATTGGTGGTTTTCCCAGAGATGATGGTTGGTGACTCTCATTGGAGTTAAATGATCAAACAGCTCAAAAACATCGGTTGACCAAAAGAATTTCCCAGAATCTGGGAGTTTCTGGGAAGTTGCAAAAGCCTTCTCTTGTTTTTCCTTGATCTTGACTTATTTGAGGGACAATTCTTTCTAAGGCCAGCTAAGCTTTGGGCATCGGTGTGGGCAGAGAAAGTTTAGGAAAGCCAGGGATGATACCACTGGGTGGACAGCACAGCTGGACATGGAACAAATCACACCTCCCTCCACTGGCCACCTCTGTCTAAACCAGAAAAAAATAACCAGAAACATGCACTTACATTTCAGCTGTGATAGACTTTTAGAGTCTTGCAAGTTACTTGAGAAAAAAGTAATTATTTTGAAGGATGTTGTTTCTGCCAGCAACAATTTTTGAAATGTCAGAGAAGACTGAAGATGCTTCTGATGGTTAAACAGGGCTGGAGCACCTCAGTCTGTGACATGGCACTTATGTGGTTTCCATCATGCCAGCCCCTGTGTGTCTCACCCACAGCAAGAAGTCAATCCTTGTGGCACCCCTGGAAGGTTGGGAAGCTCCATGCCCATTTTGGCAATGAGCTGGCTCACAAGCAGAGGCACAGATGGAAATGGGCAGTGGCAGAGCTGTGTCTTCCCTCCACGTGTCCTGACTTTCTACCACACTGCCCAGGCTCTCAGCACCCAGTGACCCAAGCACTCTGAAGTTATTTTCCCAAAGTGTCAGAACATGAGACTGAATTCCTGAATATGACACAAAGCTCCAGACCACACTGCTGTGGGATGTGATTTGTCTTGAAGTGAAAGACAGGTTTCCTTCGCATACAAATGTTGGGCCCAAGAGGGTAATAACTCTCCAACAATGTAATAGTTTCTGTCTAGCTGTTCCCTAAATGAAAAGCATTCTGCTGTCAGTGCTCTGAATGTCATAAGCTGTCTCACGCATCGCATTCATGCAGGCTGGCTGGGTGCCCCCATTCTCCAAAGAGAGCTGAAATCACATCCAGCCACCATTAAAAAATGCCATTCAGGTGCTGATGCACCACTGGGTATCCATCCTCCTGCTGTTTAAGGATAGTTGTTACTGAGACAAACTTTGCAATGATGTAATAATTTACCAGAAGCCATTATTACTGACATGCTGCTTCTCAGCATTTTCTTCCTTTCCATCACTGCTAATTGCCAGAGCCCTCTGCATCAACAGGAACTTTCTTCTTTTTCAACATTCATTCAGCAGTGTCACTGCATCCTAATCCATCATCTGGGAAGGCTTTGCCCAGACAATTGATAATGGCCTCTAGCATCATTTTCAGAGCATGATGCTTCCAGGATCCATGGATGAGCCAGAGCCTGGCATTAAGATTTCAGAAGAAATGCCATCTTCACCATGCCCTTTTTTTTTCTTCCCATGACTATGGAAACAGAGACTAATAAGCCAGTAGGTCAATAATGCTGGGCCATTAAGCTGATACAACCCTAATGTATGAACATCCTTGGCATTAGGGAGGCTTCCCCGAACAGGAGGCTGTAAGTGGGGCATTATTTGGCTCTTGGTGATCGCAGTGGGAACCCCTGCAGCTGCTGCAATGTGATTTTTTGTCGCTCCCTAGTGGCAGGAACAGAGGTTTATGAGTCAGCCGCGTACTTGTCTGCACCTAACTTGGGTGTTTCAGTAGCAAACGAGTCCCTCTGGACTACATGAGTCGTCCTCCAAAAATATCAGAGCACTACGACGTGCATGAAGAGCAACAGAGACCTCACCCTCCACAGCCACGCTTCCAGGATCTCCCAAGCAAAGATTTTGGTCCCAAATCAGAATAGATGCTTTTTGTCCCATTCTTCTCCTCCAAAGGACTGGCTTGTCTACTCTGTGCCAGAGCAAATTCTTCCACGAGTTTCTTTATGGATTTTCCAGCATTCATAGGTGTAGGGTACAGGCATAGGGATGGAAATTTAAAGTCAAGATTTCCCATCAAGCAGGCACAGCCAGGCAACACAAGAGAAACATGGAGAAGCCTGCAGAATTTCCTGTGAGGTTGAGCAAAGTTCACAGTTTTAAATATGACCAGCTTGGCCTCAAAATATCTCTTCATGTATTTATGAATCATTCCCTTTTAACTCTTGGAATATTAATTAAATTGGAAGGGGGCTTTCAAGTCAAAGCCTTTGCCTGTATAAATAAATCAATATCTGTGGAAATCGGTGGAGTTAAGACATTTTAGAAGGACAGGAGCCTCACACTGTAACTCTGATTTCCTTGCCAACATTTGCAGTATCTGCACGTAATTAAACAAGTGACACTAAGTGAGTCTGTCCCCTCCTGGTAGTCCTGCTGTGGTCTGATATTGCCATCATTGCCTGGGTTTCCTCTACCTGATAGAAATATTTAAATTTGCAGCACATCAGCAGTAAAAGTGTGCATTTGCCCTGCTCCATTGAGTTCATTTCAATTCTGATGAGTGTGGCCATGGCGAGATCTGGAGAGAGCACGGCAAGCTGTCATGGCTGCTTCTTCAGGTATCCATCACTCTGGGTCTGCAATTGATGCAAAATCCTCCCAGGAAACCTCCCCAAGACATCCTGCCTGCTCTGCAATGATGTCTTCTTGCAGGAGAGTCCCTGGTGTGTTTTTCTCAGCGCAAAATAAGTGAATTTTTCAATGAGCAGATAAAATGGGAATGGCCTCATGAGCCTCTGAGTGGAGAGTTACAGACATATGACTGTGCTTTCTGCTGATCATCCATTTTTCTGAGCTTTCATTGCTGCCTGGGATTCTCACACATGGTATGGACCTTTTTACTGTTAGGTACAGCTGAGACTTCCAAGGAAGACTTCTGTACTTGCAGAACAAAAGGGCTCCAGTGTGCAATGAAAGACTTCAGGCCTTTCCTTTAGAATAGTGGTTATTATTCATGCCCTGTGCAGCACATGGACTAGTGATCACATTGCCCAGCCTAATGACCACATTTTCTTTTTCAAGGTGATTTATGAATTTCACTTAACAGCTCTCCACAATGTCCCTCTGAATAATTGCCATTATCCCATCTCTGAGCTGTGGAGTGGGGGAAGATCACGTGCCATGGCCAAGGTCCCACACAGTCACTGCTTTTCAGAGAACAGGAGAACATGGTCCCTGGGCTGAGCTCAGACCTCTTCCATTCCTCCTGGTGATTTTTTTTGTGCCCTCGTTGCTGACACGTGTTGCGGAGTCAGGAGAACTCTGGTGAAAAGCTCAGCTATTAAAAGCAAGCCCATTTTGCTGCAATGCATAACCTTCTTCTTATCCCACACAGTTTAGGAAGGTTAGCTTAAAATTATCAAAGGTGCCACAATTTTAGATGCCTGGATGCTGTCTGTGGGCCTAGTCAAATTAATATTCCTGAAGCATCCTCTTATGTGGGATGTGAAGAGGCAACAAGGGCTCATTTCCCTTCCATCTACTGTCCTTTTTTTCCTGTCTGTTTTGAAGGGAAAGGGGAATAATTATCTCTTGCTTTTCAGGGCAGCTGGTATGTTACAAACTCTATGGCTCCTTCAAATTTTTTGTGGTTTTCTTCTGAAATATTGTTACAAGTTTCAGGATTATAGAATCATAAAATGGTTTGGGTTGGAAGGGGCCTTAAGGTCATCCACTTCTAAACCCCTGCCATGGGCAAGGCCACCTTCCACTGTCCCAGGATGCTCCAAGCCCCATCCAACCTGGCCTTGGACACTGCCAGGGATCCAGGGGCAACCACAGATTCTCTGCCAGGGTCTCACTGCCCTCACAGGGAAGGATTTCTTCTGGACATCTAGCCTAAATTTCCGTTCTTTCACTGTGAAGCCATTTCTCCTTGTCCTGTCACCACAGTTCCTGATGAACTGTCCCCCTGTAGCCCCTGCAGACACTGGAAGATGTCTGTGAGGTCTCCACACACCCTTCTCCTCTCCAGCCACTACTTTCTCACCCTGTCTCCATAAGGAAGGGGCTCATTTTATCCATGTCCACACTCTCAGCCTTTTCCTGCTTTTTCCTTTTTCAGCCTTTCATGGGGGACAACTACTGTGACTCCATCAACAACAGAGCCTTCTGCAACTATGATGGTGGGGACTGCTGCGCCTCAACAGTCAAGACCAAAAAGGTAGGGATGCTCCTTCCTTTTCCCATGGAAATTCCTTGTTGAGTGCTGCTTTGTGCCTGGAAAAATTATTTTTGCTCAAAAAAGGAAGGTCCAAGGTCTCAGAAGGATCTTCAGCCCAGGCATCAGCTCACCATAGGCACTGAGTTCTTTCTGGTTCATTTATCATCCATCCTCAAGGCTCCAAAGGGAAACTAAAAGTTAGAAGTCATTGGGAAAATAGGAGAGAGTAAAAGGAAAGTGTCATTGTGGATCTGTTCTTTGATCCATATGTACCCACATGTGCCTGGCTTGCTGCTGACTGTCCCATCCCAGAGTGGGACAGAGAAGAATGTGGAGCAGGGCAGCATGGCTGGGTGGAGATATCAAATATTTTTTTGCACAGAGACCACATAGACCAGAGCCTTGCAAAAAGAGACAAGTTAGTGACACAGATCTATAAAATCATTACTTAAAGTAGGCATGATGCCTAGAAAAGTAAAATCCACTGGTTTCTATCACTCAGCAATGAGGGGGTGAAGTGGTAATTTCCTTGAAGCAGGATCCAAACAGACGAAAGAACATCCTTATTGGCACAGTGTGTGTTTGAGTAATAGGATGCGTTGCCACAGAGCATTATTAAGAACAAAAATATATTTGAAGTCAAAAAAAGAACAGGCCTATTTGTGGAGCTTTGCTCCTTCAGTGGTTATTAGACACTGTGATCTGGATGCAGTTTCTGGGGAATATTTGAACCCTTGGCTGTTTGGGCCTGGGGAAGAGTCCCTCCACACACATCTCCCCTTTTTCTGCTTCTTTAACACAAATTTCTGAGCACTGTTAGAGATAGTGACTGGGGTGATAGAGCTTGTGGCTTGGAGCAGTACAACATTTTATAAGTTTCTAACCAGCAGGGATTTGGAACTATATTCCTCCCCAAAAATAAAGCAAATTTTAGTTTCTGCCAGGTGAATATTTTACCTTATCTTCCAGATTTGTGGATAGAACAGAATGAAAAATCCAGCTGCATTAAGTATCTGATACATATTAATAAATAACAAAACCTGAGGGAGCTTGGGCTGAACAAATGATACCATCCGTGTTATCCAGCTGAGGAAAGAGGTCCTCTCTCCAGATTTGGCTGGAGACTTCTTTTCCTTCATTCGGCACTGTGGGCTGTCTCTGGTCCATCTGGGAACGCTGGGGAAGGGAGATGGGCATGCCCTGGCAAGTGGAAGGAGTTAATTTCTCCTCTGGGGAAAAGGCAGGGGAAGAGGTTGTTTTCCTAGCTGTGCTCTTTTCCCCTCTGTTGTGGTGTTCCTTTTGAAAAAAAAGTCCTGGGAGCCACATGCAGGGAAGCCTAGACAAGGCAGCTCCTCAGCTCCCCACGGGTGGAGTAGGGCATGGAGACCCCAAAAGGGGCTCCCTGGTGAAACAACCTCTGAAGAGAAGAGCAGGATGACAGACAGTGGCTCATCTGTTGTCTCCAAGAAGAGATTCCTATCTCTGGCTGATTTTCCAGCTTCTTGGGAGGAGCAGCCCAAGAGCAGCACAGCTTGCTCGCTGACCTCCCACCAGTCGGGAGGGCAGAGCTGGAAGTGCCCGGTAGCTCAGCATGGTGTAGGTCTTCTCCTCCCAAAACAGCCTGCCTGGGAAACTTTATCTCACTGCCTGCAGGCTGGAGGGCAGGCGATGAAAAATCCCAAACAGTGTCAGAAGAACAAAAGCGAGGTGCCTGGGAGGGGACCAACCCAAACCAGCCCCATCAAGACAGGAGCTGAGGGCACAACTGAAACAAGGGGGATGTGAGAGCTGAATTGAGGGGGAGTGGGGAGGGACAGGATTAAGGTTTGGGAGCAGAATTTATTGCTGGGCAGGGAGTTGAGACCAAGTGGGTTCTGCACAGAGTTGTGAACACTTACCAGCCAGGCGACTCACGCTCAAAATATCTGCTGCTTCCCTGCCACCCAGAAACCAAGTGACCTCCCAAGGAGGGGAAGCACTTTGTAGCCCAGTGGGTTGATGTTTTTTGTGCTAAAACTGCTTGATGCAAAGGGCAAATGGTCAGAGACGGGCAGCTGGTCACACATCTGATGGATTTTCTCCATGGAAGGGGAGGTTTTGTAGCTTTTTGGAGATAAGTCTGCTTTCACAGACTTCCCTGGGAGCTGGATCATTGTGACTGGGGAATTAGACTTGCCCTAGCTGACAGTTTAGAATCCCCCATCCTCAAGATCACACAGGTGGAGGGCTGAGCCATGGAGCCCATCACATCCCTGGCATGCCTTCAGCTCCCAAAGTCTCCTCCTCTCTCCCAAAACACCAACAACATCCCAGGAGCTGAATGAGACGCCTGGGAAAAGTGAGGAAAACCACCTTCTCCTTGGATCTTCCACACTAAAAGCGAGATGCTAAGTCCCAGTTTATTACATTTATAGGGTAAAAGGGGGAATAATAACCCAGCCAGGGGGGCTGTGGGGTCAGAGTCAAGGAGGCAGCAGGAGAACCTCGCTCCTGCAAAGCGGCTGCCGACACCTGCGGCAGCAGCCGTGGGGCCGTGGGGCTTGGCTCTCCCAGTTATTTTCCCATCTGAGGCCTTTGACTGAGACCAGATTTCAGGCCAGGCTGTTCAAATACAGCCCTCCCTTTGAAGAGGTTTATGAGTGGAGCATTACAGGAGATATTCCAAAGGGAAAAACAATGAAAGGTGAGAGAAAAAGGAGCTGAATAAAAATACTCCGCATACCAAATCCTTCCAGCACAGTTTGCCACCTACTTAAAAAGGCACAGTTTTAAAATACACATTGGGTGTAAAAGCCAAAAACCTGGAGGAGACATGGGAGGGGCGAGTCCAGCTCTGTTAATTCCAATACCAGATGAGGATGTATTTTCATACGGTTGTAGAGGGAGTGAGACACATGAAAGAGACTGCTTTGCTCCTTTTCTTTTAGGGTTACATACTATGTGGCAGATGTGTCAGTCTTTTAAAGCCCCTGCAAGTTTGCCCATAAATGTCCAACATTTATGCAACACCTGTTTTTCTCCCAAAATGTCACAGGACATTTTAAAAGCTTTAGATTTATCATCTTTTCCCCGCAGCAGCCATTGCTGAGGTGACACATGGTTCACATTTAAGAGAACATAGCAACTCCACACATTATTTTGGGAAAGGGCTGAAGATTAACGTTGCACCATGTGAAGATTCAGGAGTTAACAGTCGAGTAAGAGCTGGCTTCAGATCTTTAGTGTCCGCAAACTGTCAAGACTTAAGTTTCACTGCAGTCCCACTACCCTCCCAAACACACTTTGGGCTGCACACAGTGCTGTGAACAGGCTGCCTGAAAGCAAAATGCTTCGAGCCAAGTTCACTTTAAATCCAAGCCCTCTTACTTAATGTGAGACTTTGCACGCTCCTGTTTTGTTGCCCTGAAAATGCACAAGGGACTTCCATGCTTATCCTATGTTTTCCCTTTGCATTTGAGCATTAGCAGGGAATGACCTTGTGGATTCCGTCAGCGAGTGGGGAATGGAGCAGTGTGACTTATCTGACCAAGCACCAACTAATCAGCACTGCTGCTTAGATAGGAAATAATGAGTATTTGCCCTGCACTGTTCACAATCAGGCTGGAGAGCTTAAAAGAAATCATTAACGGCCTCTTTTGAATGCTGCAAGTGCCAACGAATAAATTCAGTCATAATCTGGGCATAAATTCGAGGCAAGTGCAGTCAGAAAGCAGGAAAAAAGAGACATTCATCAGCTTAATTATTTGTTGTGCGCTAATTGATGAGCGTCGCCCTGCAGTGGGTGAGAAGCCAGGGCTGGCACAGGGCTGAGTGCCACCCAAGGAAGCAGGCACATGGGCAGGCAGTGTGGGGAGCAGGGGGCTGATGGCAGATCTGTTGCTGGGGCAGGGGACAGGCCGTGCTGCCCTGTTTGTGACCCAGGAGCAGCTTTGAGAGACAGGAAGGCCATTGCCGGCCAACCTCCAAGGGAGGGAAAGCTTCTGTTATGTATCTGGAGGGGATAAAGTCTTCCGTGAAGGACAAAGCAAAATCCCATCTCCTTTTAATCTTCCTCCCCTCCTGACCCAGCACAGGTTGCCAGCTCCCTTCTGCCTGGCTGCTCTAGGAAGCTGCTTCTTGCTTTGTATCCTGCTGCAGATAAAAGAAGACACTATTTTCTAAAACATTACATACGTGACACTGCCAGAGTAAGGGAAATAAATAACCTGGGCATAACTGGCTGTCTCTGGGCTCTTGGCCACCGGTGAGGAGCTTGTGGGGTGTGCAGCATTGCTGGGAGAGGCTCTGGCTGTTTCCTCTGATTCATTTCAGGAAATCTTCTCTCCAGTAACTGTCTCCTCCACTTCTTTTCTTCCCTTTCCCTTTTATAAGTTTTCCCTAGAGCAGACTGTCTAGAAAGGCCTCGCAGAAATCAGAAATTCTTTCTTTAGGCTCTGCTTACGTACTTTGTTCCAGACTGGGATTGCAGATTTGCCTCGTTGAAGGTCCTGCAGTCTGGTCCCTGTAGATTTAAAGACACTGAATTTGCTTTTTTAAAATTCCCTCAACTTCAACCATTTTTTAAGGGTGAACTTTCATCTGTCTTTCCTCTCTGCCTTTCCTTTTTGTCGCATAAGGGGTAAAACTGCAGCTCCCATGAGAAAAACCTGCCTCACTCAATTATCACTCAGGTTTTCCTTCAACTGTTTTGCCCCATAGCACTTGGTAAAAAAAGAGAAAAAGTGTCCTGTCCCTTCAGCCTCTTGACATTTCTGTCCAACACCTTGGAGAGGAAAACCAGCAAGTGCCTTGGCGGAAAACAAATGAGGACTTGTGGTAGATAGAGGGCTGTGTGGGATTCATCCAAAGCTTTGCTTATCTAAAAGATAGGCCAGTTATCAAAACCTCTTCAGAGACTTTATGGCCGAGAATTCAAGGCCTAAAGAAAGGAGCTTTGAACTGAGGGGCAGCTCTGGCTCCAGCAGGGATTTCCAAAGGCTGTCCCTGTCTCCCTGGGAAGG